CAGGAGGCGCTGAATTGCTTCCGCCTCATCACAAACGAGGACATGCGACGGCTGGGTCTCAGCAGCGACTATGCACGCCCCGAGTGGATGGTCCTTACCGTGCTTCCTGTCCCACCGCCTCCCGTGCGCCCAAGCATATCCGTTGACGGGACGGGTCAGGGCATGCGCGGCGAAGACGATCTGACCTACAAGCTTGGCGACATCATCCGTGCGAACGGCAACGTACGGCGTGCGGAACTGGAAGGATCACCCCAACACGTAGTCAACGAGTACAAAGATCTTCTGCAATACCATGTCGCGACGTTCATGGACAACGACATTGCCGGAATACCGCAGGCTCTACAGAAGTCCGGGCGAGCACTCAAGACGATACGCGGCCGGCTGAAGGGGAAGGAGGGTCGCCTGCGTGGCAATCTCATGGGCAAGCGTGTCGACTTCTCTGCTCGGACTGTCATCACTGGTGATCCCAACCTCTCGCTGGACGAAGTGGGCGTACCCAGAAGTATCGCGAGGACGCTCACATATCCGGAGACTGTCACACCCTACAACATTGGCAAGCTGCACCAGCTGGTACGGAACGGGCCGAATGAACATCCGGGTGCGAAGTACGTGATTCGAGAGAACGGCGAGCGCATCGACCTACGGCACCATAAGCGTGCTGGTGAGATCACATTGCAGTATGGGTGGAAAGTCGAAAGGCACATTGTGGATGGCGACTTCATCATCTTCAACCGGCAGCCGTCACTGCACAAGGAGTCCATGATGGGCCATCGTGTCCGAGTGATGCCATACTCAACCTTCAGACTGAACCTGTCAGTCACTTCACCCTACAACGCCGACTTCGACGGTGACGAGATGAATTTGCATGTTCCGCAGAGCGAGGAGACTCGTGCCGAGGTCAAAGAGCTCTGTATGGTACCGCTCAACATCGTCTCACCTCAGCGGAACGGGCCTCTGATGGGTATCGTCCAGGATACCTTGTGCGGTATCTACAAGCTGTGTCGCCGAGATGTTTTCCTAACGAAAGACCAAGTAATGAATATTCTGATGTGGGTTCCGGACTGGGACGGCACCATCCCTCAGCCAGCCATCTTCAAGCCCCGACCTCGATGGACCGGCAAGCAGATCGCCAGTTTGGTGTTGCCTGACGGCCTCAATCTTGTCCGCGGCGGCGACAAGTGTCCTCTGAACGACGACACCCTCCTTATCCATGGCGGCGAGCTCATGTACGGTCTCTTCAGCAAGCCGACCATTGGCGCCAGCGGCGGCGGCATCATCCATGTAATTTTCAATGAGAAAGGCTGGGAGGCAGCTGTCAACTTCTTCAACGGCACGCAGCGGGTCGTAAACTACTGGCTCTTGCACAATGGCTTCAGTATTGGTATCGGTGACACAATCCCGGATGCGAAGACCATTCAGCAAATACAAGACGCCGTAGGCGAGCAAAAGGAAGAGGTGGAGCGGATCACAGCCAGCGCCACGGCGAACGAACTCGAAGCGCTTCCCGGCATGAACGTTCGCGAGACATTCGAGAGCAAGGTTCAGAAGGCTTTGAACACTGCGCGTGACAACGCTGGCAACAAGACGGAAAAGAGCTTGAAGGATCTGAACAATGCCATTCAGATGGCTCGGTCAGGGTCAAAGGGCTCCGCCATCAATATCTCTCAGATGACGGCCGTTGTTGGTCAGCAATCCGTCGAAGGAAAACGCATTGGTTTCGGCTTCAACTACCGCACGCTACCTCACTTCACCAAGGACGACTACTCACCAGAGTCCAAAGGTTTCGTGGAGAACTCGTATCTCCGAGGACTAACACCTAGCGAGTTCTTCTTCCACGCCATGGCTGGTCGTGAAGGTCTTATTGATACCGCCGTCAAGACTGCCGAGACAGGTTACATCCAGCGTAGATTAGTCAAGGCACTCGAGGACGTCATGGCCAAATACGACGGCACCGTACGCAATTCTCTAGGCGACATTGTTCAGTTCGTGTATGGAGAAGACGGTTTGGACGGCCAAATCATTGAGAAGCAGCCTCTCGACGTTATTGCGTGCTCCACCAAGCAATTCGAGAAGAAATTCCGGGTCGACGTGATGTCGGACGATCCTGCTCTTGGTCTATCGCCGGACATTCTAGAGACAGCTGCTGATATCCGTGGAGATCCTGATGTACAGCGCCATCTCGACCATGAGTGGGAACAGCTGAGCAGGGACCGCGAGTTCCTCCGAGCGGGCAAGAAGGATGACGATGAGCAGCTACAGCTCCCTCTGAACATCATCCGGATTATCGAGACTGCCAAGACCAAATTCCGGATCAAAGACGGTGCCAGAAGCGATCTACATCCTGCTGACGTTATACCAAGAGTCCGAGAAATGCTCGACCGGTTGGTCATCGTGCGCGGCGATGATCCTCTTTCACGAGAAGCTCAAGACAGCGCGACTGGACTGTTCAAGTGTCACCTGAGGTCCCGCCTCGCTTTCAAGCGGCTGGTCAGGGAATATTCGCTCAACAAGCTCGCGTTTGAGAATGTCCTAGGTGACATCGAGAATCGCTTCTTGCGGGCTACTGTCAGTCCTGGAGAGATGGTTGGCGTGCTCGCTGCACAGTCCATCGGAGAGCCGGCTACACAGATGACGCTGAACACGTTCCATTTTGCGGGTGTCTCGTCGAAGAACGTTACTCTTGGCGTTCCCCGCCTCAAGGAGATTCTCAACGTCGCAAAGAACATAAAGACACCCTCCATGACTGTCTATCAAGACGCAACGTTGGCTGGCAGCCAAGACAGCGCAAAGCACTTGCGAAGCTTGGTAGAGTACACAACGTTGAAAAACGTTGCTGAGGTGTTCGAGATCTACTATGACCCGAACATCGAGAGCACCATTGTCGAGGCCGACGTAGACATGGTGGAGTCTTACTTCATCATTCCGGAGGACAACGCAGAAGACCCGAGCCTCCAATCCAAGTGGGTCCTTCGAATTGTGCTCAATAGACGCAAAATGCTCGACAAAGGCATGACCGTCTCTGAAGTTGCCGGCAAGCTCAAGGACCATTTCAAGGGCGACATTGCTATCATCTTCAGCGACAACAACGCTGATGAGCAAGTGATTCGCATTCGGAACATCGCCCGTGACGGACAAAAGCGTGACGAAGAAGAGGAATTGCATGTGCTACAGAGTCTTGAAACTTTCATGCTTTCCTCAGTGGCTCTGCGTGGCGTGGAAAAAGTGGAACGTGCCTTCATCAACTTCAAGGAGAAGCTCAGAGTCACCGAGAATGGGTCCTTGTCCATGTCAAAGAGTGACCCGCTCTGCAAGGAGTGGTTCCTGGACACCAGCGGCACGAACCTGGCCGATGTCATCAAGGTCGAAGGGGTCGATCCTTATCGGACATATTCGAACGCCTTCGAGCAGGTCCTCATTGTGCTTGGCATCGAAGCATGTCGAGCTGCGCTGCTGAGGGAGCTGACGCAGGTGCTGGCTTTCGATGGCTCATACGTCAACCACCGTCATTTGGCTCTCCTTGTTGACATTATGACCGCTCGCGGGTATCTGATGGCGATCACGCGCCACGGTATCAATCGAGCCGAGACTGGAGCTCTCATGCGCTGCTCGTTCGAGGAGACCGTCGAGATCCTCCTGGAAGCTGCGGCATGCGGCGAGCTTGACGACTGCCGCGGTATCTCTGAGAATGTTATGCTCGGTCAGCTTGCACCTCTGGGGACTGGCGAGCTTGAAGTCATCCTCGACCAAGACATGCTCAACACACAAACGACAGACAACGCTCGCTTCAACCTTATGCCCGGCCTTGCAGTCGCATCAGGCTACGGCGACGCTGGAGCAGCCACGCCTTATGATCTTGGGTCACCATCGCACGAAGGCGGCTTCGGCGGTCCCGACTACGGCGCCTCGTTCTCGCCCATTGTCAGCGCAGGCAGTGACGAGACGGGTGGTTTTACATCCTACAACAATTTCGATGGCGGCTTCAGCCCTTATGCAGGTGCCCGTAGTCCGAGCCATGGAGCTTTCAGTCCTTTCAGCGGCGGCGCCAGTCCAACGTCACCGTTTGCTGCTTCGCCGTCCTCGCCTCAATACTCCCCTACAAGCCCGGGCATAAACATCACTAGTCCTCGGTATGGCGGTGTAGGCGGCCCCTCAAGCCCCGAGTACGTCCCGACAAGTCCTGGATATTCGCCCACTTCGCCCGGACTCTCTCCCACATCACCAAGCTATTCGCCTACATCACCGAACTACAGCCCGACTTCACCGACCTATTCTCCGACATCGCCCGCACATCAAGCCACCTCGCCCAAGTACTCGCCTACATCGCCACAATTCTCGCCCACATCGCCTGTATACTCCCCTACGTCTCCACAGGTCAGTGCTGGATCAGATCGACGGTCGCCAGGTTCACCAACGAGCCCTAAATACTCGCCCACGTCGCCAGTCTACAGCCCAACATCTCCTGCCGGGGGCCCAGGGAGTTACAGCCCTACCTCCCCGACGTACTCGCCGACAAGTCCGGGACCTGCTCCGTACAGTGCGACATCGCCCAAGTGGAGTCCGACCAGCCCGAACCCGACGTACTCTCCGACGTGAGTATCATGAGTCTAGCACGCAATTGACAGCCGATGCTAACATATGCTTCCAGATCGCCTAAAGAATAGAGCCTCCCTTCGTTGTTCACCACTCAGCCTCAAGGCTCAGTGGTAAGAAGCATTCTGTATATTGGTGCAACTCTTCGCTGCATTACTAAGCAATTCTCAGGCTCGTCGACGTACCTTTTACTAGGCTCACGCCGAACGACGCCTGCTTCTACTGTAATAACACCTGCGTTATATCGGCCTTTTGAGAGTCGGAAAATTGCATCTCGGGGAGGGAGTTTGGCGGTGTTTGCAGTCTCCGGCGTTTTGTGTTTTAGCGGTGTCGCAGAGGGGTTCATGGGCATGTCGCGCCTTTCGGCGGCGGGTGGTGCTTACTTAATTTGCCAGAGGGCTCTGGTGCGGCTTCATGGTCTTTTGATTGGGTGTGCTGCCAGAAGCGGAGCAGCTGGGTGGAAGCGACGCGTTTACAACACGGTGGAGGATTGGAATGGTGCAGAGGATAGTAGTCGGAGTAGCTCGTGAGAGATCAAAATGCACTGTCATTGAGAATGCCTGTGCGATACCTAAGCTGGCTCAACGAGCTCAACTTCATGTAGAAATCGATTGCAGTCGTCTCAGCCTTGCTCTCGCTGTACCTAGTTGATCTGGTCTTCCATCGCCCAGTATCACCGCGATTGCGGCGACAGTGGTGTCGGGATAGAATACTTCACTGAAGCCATGTACCTCTAAATCTGCGAATCCGACGCTCATCCGTGTTCTTACGTACATATAACACGATCGTAACCCTGCATTCAGCTCGTATCCCCGCATGCAGGCAGGCCTGTCTGAGGATGAATTCGTGGCCTTCTAACAAGCGGGATTCTCGCTGGAATGGTGATTCCCACGCCTTGAACCACCCGTTCAGCCCACCACTCTCAGCTGACGAAGCCTCAAAGATCCACAAGATGACATTCGTACCCATGTAGATGGGTTGCAGCATTTGGATGCTTGCGGATCCCGCAGATCTATCGCGATCGACTACTCAGACCATCGACGAGAACCGTGATGCCAGACTCACCGGCGTCGATGACGGACGCGAACTTGTACACTCAACGAATGAAGGTTTCCTGTGGTCAGCAAATGCTTGGACGGGAGCTTCTTTGGCTTACTGCGAGTTCAGCTCGGAATTCAAGGCAGAGGGAAGCGCTCGCCGCCTTCACGATGAGTTCTATATATGAATGAGCATCAGGTCCTCGGCTGCAGTCCTCTGAGCCGTCCGTCCAGATTTGTTCCGGGTACGTCTTACGGTGGGTCTAGCCAGAGAATTGTCATCATGGTTTGCTCCAAACCTTTCTTCGTCCTCCTTGCCTTTCTCTCAATTGGTGCTCTGGCCCTACCAGAGCATCCTTGGAACGATCGGAAGGGAAATGACCACAAAGAATCCGGGTATGGCAAAGACTGTCTTACCGATAACGAAGCTCGCTTCCTCGTTGATACCTACAACTACTTCTTTATACGATTCGATCCTCAGGTTGTCGAACAGTATTTGGCCCCAGACTTCCATGAATTCTCCGACAGTTACATCACGCTTTTCACGCCGGGCTCAGTAAGTCCCTCCTCTCAAGGTTCAGCATTCATAGGGAAGCTGAATCAGTAAGTTACTTTGAAATCTGATACTGCGCAGAAACCTCTCGGCAGCCCAGTGTCTGCCAGCCGCGACGAGTTTATCCAGAATCATATAGACGACCCGGTTTATCCTGAAGGCACTCCAAATTGGTTCAAAATCGAGGAAATCTTTCACACTTGCACGATGATAGGCTTCCGCTGGATGTTGCCGCCAGAGGGCGAGTTTAGTATGGGCCCGTTACCTATCCGCGGTAACGATATCATGTACACCGCGAAGCGAGATGGGAAGTGGGTGATCACAGCCGAGTGGTCGGAGTTCAACACTCTTGCATGGGCGCAGAACTTTGGAAATTGTGCGGTGGAGACGAGTGTCTGAGGCTGACTGAGGGGAATTCTTTGAACCTTGTTCTTTGCTTACGTGCAAGGTGTTCCATAGGGTAGGAAAATTAGGTACCGTCCTTTATCTCGATAGTATTGTAAGCGTAGTTAAGCTCTGTATCTTCTGCGGTAATGTTAGATGAGTACATAGTAGTAGGATTCTTCACGTGTCGAGAGACCCGCTGAAAGGTGAGTCAACTGCGTGATGGTGTCAACGGCACAAGACTCCCCCATGTCTTCAACTTCACAACCAGTAACCCTATCTTCAACCCTCAAATGGCAAATTCAAAGTAGGGTTAAGCAGACCACTCCATAGGCTGATTATTGCTCTAAACTGGAATGCAGATACGAATATGTCCGCGCTTTCGAGCAATCAGACGTGTTGCTACCTAACACGTGGATCGTGGTCCGCATCGATGGGAGAGGCTTCAAGAGGTACGTATTCCAACACTCTCCATCAGTGTCTCGAGAGAGCACGGTCACGACTCTCAGGCCACGTGTGAGCAGGACCAAGCTACTGCAGCGCCAACGAACGACCACATTTGTAACTGACAGCCGATCTGGCGCAGGTTCACAAGCAAATACGGCTTCAGGAAACCCAACGATGATAGAGGCATCGGTCTTATGAATGCTGCCGCTAAAGAGGTCATGAAAGAATTGCAAGACCTAATTGTCGGCTACGGCGTCAGTGATGAATACAGGTGAGAAGCTGTCATTGTCTCTGCCGTGATGTGAAGCGGAACTGGAGGCAAGGCTACAAACCCGTGCACTCAGACGTACCCAGATTAGCTGACACTATACCAGCTTCGTCTTCCATAAAGACTGTACCCTCTTTGAGCGCCGAGCGAGGTACGCATACGCTCTGTTTCGGGGCCTGAAATTCCTAGAGCTCACCGGTTGACTAACTTAACATGCCTGAAGCAAACTCACGACAACGATTGTTTCCATCTTCACGGCTTACTATGTCCAGCTCTGGTCGACCTACTTCCCTCAGACGCCGCTCTCGACGCCGCTGCCGAGCTTTGATGGGCGAGCGGTCATGTATCCGAGTGTCGGAAATCTGAGAGACTACCTGAGCTGGCGGCAGGTGGATTGTAAGCACCATTCTCGTATCGGCATTTATTGTTCTGCTTCGCTCAGTGGAATTCTGTGTCGATCCGATACCTATATATGGCTGACATGGCGGGCAGGTCACATCAACAATCTATACAACACAGCCTTCTGGGCGCAGATCCAACAAGGCGGAATAGATCCCGTGAAAGCGGAGGAGGAGCTCATGGTAACTTAAGCTATTCTACTGGTGGCGTTGCTCTAACACACAGCCTCGATTTAGGGCACTTCTGCGGCGGACAAGAACGAGATTCTCTTCTCCCGCTTCGGTGTAAACTACAACAACGAGCCTGAGGTGTACAGAAAAGGTAGCGTTACATTTCGCGAGGTATGGTGCATCATGTGTATCCAAGCGCTGGCACAGCAACGCTCATCTGGCGCAGTGTGAACTGACCGCTTTGCCGTCTGATACTTCATCCAGCGTAGTCCTGGACACAACAGAGCACAGTGCAGCTTCCGACCTCTCTTCTATACCTACTCCTTCCACATCGCAAGCCAGACCCTCGTACGGGGACGATCAAGGTGTTCTCCCGCCTGCACCCCTCTCCAAGACCGCAGCGGAGAAGGACCGCAAGCGCCGCGCCAAAGCGCGAATTGTTGTGGAACACCTCGACATCATCAAGGATGACTTTTGGACCCAGAGGCCCTGGATACTGACGGGAAGAGCCGGTAAGCCTGTAACAGAGCGGTAAGTATCAGGTCACGGTACGGCGAAGCTAGCTGGTCGAGGTTCTGGCCAGTCGAATTGTCGGTATCTCGGGTGTCGACGCATCCGCTGGACCTAGCCGGCTTCATGGTCGAGAGGTGGTTCATAGCTTACATTGAAAAATGAGGATATCACGGTTGGGAAAAAGCAAGCTTTGGATTTCAACAACGTAACGAATTGGATGGGGTGCCGCGGTCGCTGGGTTCGCAACAGCATGAAGCGTGGCATCAACATCGAAGCAAGATGTCTCAAAAACAGTTTCCAAACTCTGGATATCTCGAGGTCGATGGCTGGGAGCGTTACACTGCCAAACACCATAACACTACTGAAGTTACGAATTCACTCCGGTGTTCTCGCCGCCACATGTTCTCGAATCCAGCTTGATGATGACTCCAAGTCGGTTACACTGAAGGGATAAGTCACCTTACACATCTAGGATCTACCGCGTGTGCGATTGCTAGCCAGAACGGTTTACAGGACCTTCTCAACTGCCCTCTTGACCCTGGGGCGACCCACCAGCACTACTTCTACCTGATCCAGACGCAGAGTCGGACTCGGGCTGATTTGCAGAGGCAATTTTAGCTCGTACTGCGTCATCCGTCATTGAACGCATCTCCAGCTCACGAAAATGCAACTTGTCAGTCCAAGTGTCATCACCCAGTCGGTAGACGTCGGGTATGTTACTGCAAAACCGATCGGTATCCCCGTAGGCGTGCGTAATACGCGTCTGGATGGTTCGAAGGAGTTCTCGAAGCGTAGGCCTCTCAGCCGGGTCATAGCTGAAGCACTGCCGTACCAGCTCAGCAAGATAGTGGAGCTTATCTTCAGGCGAGATCGTCCGAAGAAGACTGCGCACAGGTTGCTTGAATCCGCCTTCATGAAGCTCATCGCGAGGACTCTCATAGTTAGCCAGGGGTCTATCAGTCTTGTCGATCATGCACATCATGGTGGCGCCCAGTGAGAATATGTCGGCCTTCTCGGAGATCGTTGCAAATTGGGCTGGTCGTCGTGGGTACCAGATCTTGACCTCCTACGAGAATCATCAACGCGAGAAGCTGAGAAAACTTAGGAGGCTGTCATCACTCACTGGAGCCCGGAAGCCCTCTGTCCCATGGCCTTGATAGTCCAGCGGATTCTTTAGATCGCTTTCGCTCGTCTCAACCGCCAGACCAAAGTCTCCGAGCTTGGGTTGAGGGTACTATGCCTCGTTAGCCAGATCCGACAATCTGAAGCGGATGTCTACTCACTGCTTTGAATCTGTTGGGGTCTGGAGCGGCAAGGAATACGTTCCCTGGGTTCACGTCCAGATGAACGATGCGCTCCCATCCGTCGATCTTGCGCTCTACGCTGCCTTCGTGCAGTACTAGAAGCGCGGAAACCATGGATTCGAAAACATACCACATGAAGGGCTCTGGCATGGGATACCATGGCTCGTAGTATCGAGGATCCTGATCGTCACCCTGGTCTGCCTCGTTCTGCTGACTCCCATCCTGCTCTCTTGTTGTTGGTTCTATCACTCTCATCTCTTTTTTGGCGTCGTTCTCGAGCGTAGCGAGTGCATCAATAACATCACGCAGCGTCTGATAAGGTGCATATTCGAGGTAAAGACGAGCCTTCCGGACCGCAGCAAAGACTCGGTAGCCGTGGTACCCAAGGATATATGGGGAGTTCTGCTCCTGAACTCGCTGGTGGATCGCCGCTTCCAATGGTGCTCCATTCTTCCAGCTCAGTGGGTCCCGCCAATAGACACTCTGAAAATCGACTTCTTTCACCACCATTGTCTGTTGCACAGTTAGCAAGCGCGACCGCAGTCTTCATCCTCCAAGGAACTTAACATACCTCAACTGTGTCATCGCTTGCGTCCAATCTGGCGAAGAGCCCTGCCCTGCCGAAACCGCCCGTCCAGGATACTGGCGCCTCTATACCGATCCATCGAGACTGATCTATCGCATTACCGTCCAGGTCGTGCTCGAGACCGAAGAAATGAAGAAACCTTAGCCTCGCCTCCCATCCAGTAAGCTCACTGAAAGGCATGAACGGCTCGTAGCCCGCAAATGCTTCCGCGTATCCATCAGGTCCCTGAGGCACCGGCGGGCCGACGTGTACGACCACTGGCCCCGCTTGTGGAGCCGGTGGAGCTCCTTGTGGAGCCGCTTGGCCTATGTGAATTCCCATTGTCCCGAGACCCTGGGCTGCCAGAGCCTGGAGTGCTTGGGCTGCTTGGGCACCTTGAGCTGCACCAGGCCCCTGGGCTGGCAGATTTGTCTGAGCCGCAGCACCTGCGCCAACTGCACCAGACCCTCCTGGTGCCACAGTTGCCTGCGCTGCACCACCTCCTTGAGCCGCCTGAGCCGCCTGCGCGCCACGCCTCCTCGCTTTCTGCGGTCCTCGAGGACGCGTGCCAACTTTCTCTGGGATGGCAATGCTCGCGATAGCCGCCGCCGTGAGCGGCCAACCCTTGTTGTACGGCAGCTTTTGGGCCGGGGTGAGCCCGTTCCACATTTTGGTGACGGCATTTGTTTTCTGGGCTTATCGTTCAGGAATGTCAGTCTCATGTTCATGAGGGCTTTGGTGGTCCAGTGGAGACTTACTGCCCGTCCAGCGCGGGTGTGCGGCTTCGATGCGAGCATAGTGCTTTGCTCTAAAGTACATCATCTTGGGATCTATGATTATACGAATTGCTTAGGCGGAAGGGGGAGATATGTAGCTGTTAAGCTGAGCTGGCTGAAGAAGCCTGGTGCTCACACAGAGACACGTCGGTAGCCGCTGGAGGTCTACACTGCCGTTGAAGGTTGGCTTTGGCTGGTGGTTTGACAAGCGGATAGAGAAGAAAGCTTTGTCAACCTCAATGGCTGGTATTGCTGGAACCTGTTGGTGCTGCTTTTGTTTGGTCCTATTGTGGCTGGTGAATGCCTTGTCTATAGTTAAAGTGATCCGATGCACTTGGTCTGGTCACACTTCAGTCGGAGAATCACGCAGCTCTGCAACGCAGGACTTGGACAGCGGCAGATATTACTCACGCAGCACCGGAGGGTGCGGTCGTGGGAATGAAACTAATTGATACTGACCGCAATGAAACGGTGAGGTCAAGGAAAATGGCTCGGTACTGTGTACGCTCACATGTGTGCCAGCTGGTGGCTCCGGTGGTACACATAATCATCGGATGGTTGTTGACATGCTCGGCGAGAAACAACTGACAGGGCGAGGAAGCGGCAATGCGCTTTGAGGTTCATTGCTATGTCGAACAGTGGACCACACCTGATGCGCGTCAAGCCTCGACCAAAACCCCTTACCGCTCCTGACAGCTCTACAGCATTGTAAATTTCGACCTCAAACGCAGGCCATCTCACCATCTCGCCCCCGCTCCACGGCTCTTTTATCTCCTCTCAGGCTTCCTCCTCTTCCCCCTCTTCTCCTCCTTCCTCTCCTTCTTCAACCTCTTCTTCGCCTCCCTCCTCGCCTTGACAATCTCCTGCGGTTTTGCGTTCGGGCCGACCTTACCCTCCCGCAGCAGCTGCGCCGTGAGTTGCCGCTGCTTCGCCATCTTCTGCTCCATGCGCTTCGCTTTGCGGTCCTTCTTCGTCTGGCGCTTCTCGGCGGAAAGAGCTTTCCGCTGGGCATTGCGCTCGGCTTGGGTAAGGGTTGCTGCTTGCTTCTCGGGTTCAGTACCGGTGGTGACGGTGGTGGGGGGTTTGAGGACGTCTGGGTTCCCGGTTGTGTCGACGAAGAAGATGTCGGTGGCGGGAGGTGCGGCAGGGGCGGAGTTCGGAGTCTTCTTTGCGGCACGGTGGGTGATGTACGCTTCGAGCGTCATGCCCTTCTCAGCCGCACGAGCAGCGTATTTCACCTTCTTCTCTTCCGACAGCGGCTTTGGCTGTACCGGAGCGGCCACCGCCGTCAATGCTGTCTCTGCGGCCTGCACAGCTTTCATTGCTTCTGCGGCCGCCTCGAGCTTCCGCTTCTTGGCCTCGCGTTTCTTCTCGAGTTCCTTCGCGAGTCTTGCTTCCTTCCGGATTGCCTGCATCCGCTTCTTTCCTTCACGCATGCGCATCCGTCTGGTGGCGGCGTCCTCAACAACGAGCTTGATCTCGTCGGTCCCGTTTGCGAAGTCTCCAGGTCCATCCCCAGCCCCAGCAGCCTTCAGCTTCTCGAGGATCTCCTTCTTCTCCGCTCGCCGCTTTGCTCTGAGGGCTAGCTTCTCGACTCGACGCGCGGCTTTTGCGGCTTCTTCCTCAGCTTTGAGAACTGGGTCCTTGGCCTTCTTCTTCTTTTCTTTGGCTGCTTTTTTAGTCCCCTTCTTTCCCTTGAACGCGTCTTCGACTGCGTTTCTCTCTGCACCCTTCCCTTCGGCTTGCTCTTCTGTAGGCTCCGCTTGTCCTGTGGGAGGCTTGACCCCTTGGAGATTCTGTAGGGCTGCTAGCCTAGCCTTCTCCGCCCTCTTGGCTTCGCGTAGTTGCTTGCCTCGCTCGTATTTCGCGGCTTTGTAGGACTTCATGCCGCCGGCGTTGTAAGGACGGACCGCAGGTGGTGCCTGTTTCAATCAGCATCAAGACTGGAATGCAGAATGCGAGTAGAATCTGCTCACTTTGGTTCCACTCATCATTGCCATGCGATCAGCATTAACATGCTCCATGGACGACCTTCGTGCAGGAGGTGCGTCTTTCGATACCTCTGTATTATTACCGCTCGCCGCCGCAACCTTCTTGAGCAATTCGCCGGCCTGCTCGACCATTTTCTGTGCCCGCGCTTTCTCCCCTTCAGACGTTAAATCCAGCGTGCCCTCCGCAGCAGCCCTCTCCCGCTTCAACGCCACATTGACCCTCTCCTTCTCCCGTCTCTCCTTCTTGCGCCGCTCACGTATCTCCTCCCTTGTCTCCTCCCGCTTCCGCTTCTTTGTCGGCGCAGCTTCCTCGCCATTCGTCATCTCGACATTAGCAGGCTTCGCCGCCTTCTTCGATTTCGGCGCCACAACAGGCCCAGGCGCGTTTTGCGCATCGCTAGCACCAACAGGCGACATCGCCCCAGACGTAAGCTCCGGCGTGTCGACCTCGCTGATGGTTCCCGATAATCCCTCTCCCCTCACGAAGAACCCGTACAGCCCGCCCCTCGCGACGCCGTTGGCCTGGATCTGGTCGAGTGCCGTCTGCTTGCCCGTTCCGAGTTCCTTGAGGCTCTCGTCAAAGGCTCGCATCCACCATTGGTCGGCGACGAGGGTTTTTTTCTTGCCGACACCCAAAAGATCGGCTTTTTGGGAGATTAGGAGCGGCTTCTTGATTCCGCGGTCGTGCTTGTCGAGCGAGTGTCCGTGGCCGCGCCAGCCATGTCGTTTTAGGTGGGCGGCGGCGTCCATGAACTGGGGGAGCGCCGGTATGTAGCGTTGCGGGAGGAATTTTGGAGGTGCCTCGTTTTCTGCCGCAAAGGAAAGGCGGTGAGGGATTTTGGAAGTTCGGGCCGCAGGAAGCTTTTCGCGGGTCACGTGCAGGTATCTGACCAGCGAGACAGAAATATCATAACGTGGAGAACTACATGTCAACGACACGGAGCCGAATGAGTTTCAAACGGGTGATGGCCTGAGCGAGCGCTGCTACTGCAATACAACCCCATGTCCGCCTCTCACAAGACATCCCAAAGCGACCGAACACTCCCCGTCTCAATCCTCCTCCACCCCCTCATCAACACTGTCAAAGCTCTCGCTCAAACTCGGCGCCTTATCCCCCTTCTTCCCCATCTTCCCCTTAAAGCTACTCCAACTAAGCCCACTACTCCTATTCCCCCTTCCTCCCTCCCCCTTCTCGCTCCCTAGCATCGGACTTCCCTGCTGCGACGAGTCAGCCTTACTTATCACACCCTCATTGTCATCATCAGGCGTGTCAGGAGCGAATCCGCCCTCGCTGCCCCGCTTGGAGGAGGAAAACAACCCCCCGGACTTGTTGAAGGGGAACTTGGTCGAGGAGGACTTGCGGCTCAGCTTCTGCATGAAGGACTCCTTGCCCGCGGACCCCACGCCCGCGGACATGGAGACGTTTGAGCCGAGGGATTCCGAGGGCGTGCGGTCCAGGTCGCCGTAGGTCGAGTCGTTGGCGGTCGAGATGGAGCGGTTGTCCTTGCTCTTGCGTGACTCGGAGGGCGAGGTGTCAGCGGTCGCTGGGGTCTCTGCTCGCGGCGTCTGCGGCGCGGATGGCTCGTCGTCGGATGAGGCCTGCTGCCGGTCTTTCTCTCTGGACTTGTTGGCTTTTTCGCGCTTCTTCTTTTCGGCTTTCTCGGCTTTCTCGGCGGCTTTCTCGGCCTTCTTGGCTTCTTTGTCGCTGCTTTCGGATCTGTCGCTCTTGTCGCGGTTTAGGTTGAAGCGGCTGAGGAAGCTGGGTGCAGCGGGGTTCAAGCTGGGAGTTTGGGAGCCAGGGAGCGGGCGGTGGGTGCCGATGGGATCTTGTAGCGGCGAGCTTGTAGCATGTAACAAGTCTGACAGCTCATGCGGATCGTTCTCCGGCAGCGGCATGTTGTAAGCGAGACCAGGCGGCTGGCTATACTGTACGGACGGCCGCCGAGATGGATGGCGAGAGAAGGAATACGTGGCGGTCATGCCGGACCAAGCGTCGTTAAGCGGACTGGTGGTCATGGACGCGGCCCATCCCAGCTTTCGAACGCTTTCGGAAGACGGTCGCGGTAGTTCTCGATCAAACGAACGGACAGACCCTGGGCGAGGTGAGGCAGGCCTGTCCATTCCCAGGAACGCGGGCCATCCATCGCCTTTCGGTAACGCGTCCGCTTTGGGGCCGAACAGGTTAAACGCCCGCTTCCTGGTAGCGATGCTCTTTGGACTGGAGTCGCTTTCGCCGCCTCCAGCGAGCTTGCTTGACGAACCAGGACTTCGGCCCAGAGGGTTGGACAGCAGATTGCCCCATGTTCCGTAAGAGTGACTGCCTCTTCGGCGTTGCCCAGCATCGTCCTGGAGGCGGTCTTCTCTAGGCATTGAGTGACTCTGTGATCCCTTCAATGACCCAAGAGGTGGTCCATCCTCGATCGTCTTGCCTCGTTGACGATTAAGGTTGAAGAGTTGCGCAAACCTGGTACTCCCCGGCAGAACGCCACCGCTGGGGGTACGGTAGGACCCAGAGGTTGACCTGATAGACTGTCTATCACTTTCAATCCCGCCCTCTGCTGTCGAGAGGTTCGAGAGATGAGCTGCGCTTTCTCGAGGGCTGGCAAAGACGCTTGGCGAAGGGCTGTGGAAGGACGAAGGCGAAGTAGGACTATGGACAGCTTGTTCCAGCGTTCCGAGAGCGCCCAGCCCGGGAAATCTGGGCATACCGTCGTGCCCTGGAAGCACACTAGACTTTGTCGACCGCTCGGCAGGCGATGTGGACCGCCGGCCCGCCTCTTCTTCGGCGTGAGAACTAGGATCCTCTTGCATTCGCTCTTTACCTTTCCCTTGATAGTTCGCTTCCATATTCTCTTCGAACGGATTTCCCTTGGCCTTGAAATCATCCTCTTTGTCAAAGAGCCCGGACGGCAGCAGTGAGCCGGCAGTAGGGCTCATCGGGCCGAGTGGACCAATCAACTCAATGTCGCTTTGGGATGGTGCGGCTGGCACGGTTGCGTTGTAGTTTGTCATGCCATTGATGACATTGAAGAATGGTGGAGGAGACGCAAAAGTTGGTGATATGCTCGACATGCTGCCTTTGAAAGGGGGACCACTGCCGATCGCGAATCCAGTGCTTGACACAGCTTCATTCCGTATGCTATCGGTACGTCTTCGGCGAGTGCTCGGCCTTGCGGTTGCTCCGTCTAGCCCCGGTGGCGAGAAAACCTGCGGCTGACTGGCACGGCTTTGGTTGATGAATTTCAATTGCTCGCGAAGTTGATGCACTTCGTAAGACGCCTGTTGAAGTTGGCGCGTGTAGATGTTATACTGCGTTAGAAGAGCATCTTTCCGCTCCTCCGCTTGTCTGTCTTGTTCGTTTTCGGAGATCTCTTCGTATCCTCGGCCGCCAGTCTCGCGTTCGTCTGCTTCCGACTTCCTCCTATCCTCCAGCTCCTTGATCTGGACTCCCTTTTCGCGTATGGCTTGGTCGAGAGCTCTGTTCGTCTGCTGCTCTTCTGCATGGCGGTTGCGCATATCAACGATTTGTTTTGCAGATGTCTCTTGGTAGGCACATTTCTCTCGCTCCATGCGTTCTACATCAGCGTGTAACTCCCCAATCTCCCGCTGCCAGCGTTTCATATCATCCCTGATCTTCTGGCGTTCGCTCTGCTTCTGCTGGAGTAGCTTTTCCTGTGTGGCCCGCCGCGCTTGGGCAGTGGCATTGGCACGTTCCAGTGAGGCCACTTGCTTTTTGAGCTCGCGACTCGCGTCTTCGCGGTCCTTGAGCTGTTGCTTGAGGTGGTCTCGTTGTTTGAGCAGCGAATCTCGGGCGCGCTGAAACTCCTGCTCTTCCTCGGCTATCTGCTTCTCAATATCCTCGTTCTCCCGCATAAGCGACTCGAACTTTGCCGTCAATTGCTCGATCGAGTCCTCGTCCCGGCTAGTGTCAGGGGGGTCACTCTCTTCGTCCGCATCGAGCGAAGCTGGCGAGTGTCTTCTTTGAACGGTGCCACGCCTCGCATGCGGCTGACTACTATGTTCTCTGGCCATTGACGGTGGACTTGGTGTAGGGGTAGACGCTTCGGAAAACGCTTTGTACGGCAGTATGCTTGGTGCGGGTCCAGGGTGGCCGTCGCAGGCAGCTCCGTTCTTGTCGTCAGAGTGACAAGCATGCTCGAAGTAGTCTTCGGAAGCGGCTGGTCTCGTTCGCAGCCGAATCGGTTCGCTCGCTGCATGGAAATTCGATGGACTGACAGCAATGACGCGGATGGTGTAGTAATGATTCGGCTGGAGATGTCTGACTTGTATGGATGTGTCTTGGATCGTGACCTCTCCCACTGATACTGCAGTTAGTTCTCGTTGCAGTACGCGGTGGCTGCAATGCGGCTACTGAGCTCTTACCTATGATGCCATTCAGCTGGACTTTGTACCCGGTGACTGAGCCCCGCGGGTCTGGCGCCTTCCAGTGGAGGATACAGCCGTCGGCCTTGATACCTGCGAGGGAAACGATGGGCGCTACAGGGACCTCGAGACCCAGAAGATTAACCAGCTCATCGACGGGCTTGGCGAGGACTTGATATGCTCGTGCGAAGAGCCTGCGCAGGTCCATGTTAGCTCTGGGATGCAGTTGTGACAGCGCAAGCAAGAGCGCACCAGAAAAGAGCGGCGAAGGTACATAGCGTCTGCAGCCACGATGAGGTGAAGCTAGCCAGGCCTTCCATGGTCGACGAGGCCTCGTGCGGCCAGAGGACGAGTGGTTCGGACAGCATTAGCGGCGGGTGGGGTTGAAGTGACAGAGTAGCTACGGATGAGTAGAGAAGCGCAACATGGCCTACACCACCACGAGTATTGAAAGTGCAGGTGCTACGCGGTACCTTAGGAAGCACGCGGGAGATGGATATCTTGTGCCGCGGCCGGGGCGGGAGCGTTTTGCTGCAAGTCCCGGCGTGCACATCCCGAAGGCGGTGGGGCGAGTCGGCAGCTTGGGCGGCTTGGCTGCGTCGATTGCGTGCAGCCAGCTGGGCGTGCTGGGCGCTTCGACTGCAGTGCCGGTGCAGTGCAGCTCAACGGCGGGACACACCGGCCGTTGCGCATTGCTTGCCGGCGATTGGTGACGAGGTGGGTGCTTGACTGCTGCTACAACTATCTCGCTTCCCCCTTTGGATATAAGAAAACAGTATTGAAGCATGCTGGCGTTGCCCTCGCTTTGCACGAGCCTCGTGTCTCAGCTGTCAGCGCCCGACTTCAGCTCGTGACAGCCACGCCCTCGGTTCATACTCACCCTGCCCAAGGGCTGACAGCTCCCGCTACAGCTGCAGCCTTCCCACCATAACCGCCTTCAACTACGGCCAGATCAAGCGCTTGGAGTGATGCAGTACGTGCGATCGATATCCGGCTCGGTATCCAAGACATGGAGCTCCATCAACCCGGCAACTCTCAGCGGCGCAATCGACGTGATCGTCGTCGAGCACGAAGACGGCTCGCTGGCATGCTCCCCCTTCCACGTCCGCTTCGGCAAGTTCTCCCTGCTACGGCCATACGAGAAGAAGGTCGAGTTCCGCGTCAACGATGAGAAGAAGGACCATGCCATGAAGCTCGGGGAAGGCGGGGAGGCTTTCTTCGTCTTCGAGACGTCCGAGAGCATTCCCGAAGACATGCAGACGTCTCCGCTCGTTTCGCCAGCTGCGAGCCCAGAAGCAAGGCCTGTGGAGGCCACCACACCCAACTCCGAACTACCTGAGCCAGAGGCGCTGGATTTGGCGAGCACGAGCCCAATGGAAAGACGGCAGGTTCAGCGCTCAGAAACAGAGGCTGTACCTCAGCTGGAAAGGAGAGCAAAGAGCGATCTGGGTATATCGTAACATACTTCGGCTGCATTGTGCCAGGCTAACTGGGCCAGGCGAGCAACCACCCCGACCTGGCTCCCCGACCGACGCGGAACGCCCCAAGTCAGGCGACTGGTCAGGCCAGATCCCAGACGTGCCTACCCGACCTGCGACGCTTACGCACGCCAACACGGCCGAAGCACTACTACCGTCAGCCAAAGGAGCTTTCCTGCGAGCACTTCGCGAACAGACCGCACCACCGCAGCTCGATGGAGGCTCCGCCCAAGCACTCAGAACCCGGCGAGATCGCTCGAGCAGTCCACCACCACTCTCAACGAGCGAGGCTGTCACACGGGCCATCAGCCTCTCGAAAAAGCTATGGACGTCGAATATACCCACTCAAGTAACAGACAAGGGCGACCTCATGCTCGACATGACAGGCTACAAGAGCAGCGAAGAAGAATCACTGCGCGCCGAGGCTATCGCAAGGCAGATACTGTCGGAAGAGCTGGAAGGCAACTACGACATCGGAGCATTAATTGGCGTGGATGAGAAAGGCAACGTCTGGATATACAGCAGCGAGGAAGCGAAAGAGGCCGCCGCACGCAAGGCCTCTCTCCACGGTATGAATGGCGAGGCTATGAAGAGCATGGATGCTGTGTCGGATCCAGGATACGCCAGCGACGACAACCGAAGCGAGGCCAGCGATACTACGGCCATGCACATACAGCGCGACTCGAAAGGCGCAGTGGGCTTGCCTACGCCTCCAAAATCTCCAGACGCTTCAGCCGCGGCCGGCGATCCGAATCGCAACTATGCGAAAACGCTCAGACTCACGAGCGATCAGCTGAAGGCGTTGAATCTGAAGCCTGGCCAGAATTCCATGAGCTTTAGCGTTAATCGCGCGACATGCCACGCTTGCATGTACCTGTGGCGGCACGACGTGCCTATTGTGATATCGGACATTGATGGAACTATCACGAAGTAAGTCTTCTCGAACCATAAGAGCACGTGGTCATCAAGTTTGGCCGCAACAGAGAAATAGTCCGCAATGGGAGAGGCAGTACAGCCTCAAAGCGCTGAAATTGGCACCTGGCCACTAGCAAACCCCGCGCATTTGGATTAAACCCCATCTGACTGACATCGCAGATCCGACGCCCTAGGGCACGTCCTCAACATGATCGGCCGCGACTGGACCCACCTCGGCGTCGCAAAACTCTACACCGACATCGTCGCCAACGGCTACAACATCTTCTACCTAACCTCCCGCTCCGTCGGGCAGGCTGACACCACGCGCGCGTACCTCAACGGCGTCGTGCAGGACGGCTACAGGCTCCCAAAGGGCCCCGTAATCATGAGCCCGGACCGCACGATCGCCGCGCTGCGTCGGGAGATCTATCTGAGGAAGCCCGAGGTGTTCAAGATGAGCTGTCTGAGGGATATCATGAATTTGTTTTCGGGGTCCAAGACGGCGAGCACGCCGTTCTACGCCGGGTTTGGGAATAGGCTTACGGACGCGCTGTCCTACCGCTCTGTGAACATCCCGAAGACGAGGATCTTTACCATCAACTCGAACGCAGAGGTAGAATAGCCACGAACCCCAACATCCCACACGAGAGCGTGACTCAAGCTAACGTCTGAGTGTGGGGTACAGGTCACTCTAGCCCTCGAATCCCTAAACCATTACAAAACAGGCTACACCAGCATGCGCGAGATCGTCGACCACGTCTTCCCGCCCACGAGCCTACTCCTCGCGGCCGGCGGCGAGGACTTCACCGACTTCAACTACTGGCGCGAGAAGCCGCTTGAGATCGACGAATTCAGCGACAGCGATGAGGACGAAGAGGATGAGGAGGCGCGGCGACGGGATGCTGCTCGCAGGAGTCTGCGGTCGGAGGATGAGGGGGATGAGGGCGGAGAGGAGATGGGGGACAGCTATTTCTCGCAGCGCGAGTCGATTGACGAGGAGGGTGCCGCACTTGGAGACTCAATCCTCGAGAGCGTAGAGGGGGATGATGCGCCTCACGGCCAGGAAGACGAGGACGATGCGGATGAGGAAGAGGTCGACGACTACGATGACGATGATGTTACGCCTGGTCCGGAAACGGATATGGACCTGCCGTCGCCGATTGATGAGAGGCGTATGGTCTTTCCGGACTTGTCGCAGCGGGTTGATGCGCTGGACCTCTCGAGTGCGACGACGCCGCCGAAGAGGAGTGTGGATGTCAGGGAGGACTTGAAGGATCTGGCGCATGCGCTCAATACGCCGAAGAGCGCGGAGAAGTTGAAGGGACGCAGTTGAGTTTTGCATTCTTTGGTACGGCGGCAAGGCGTTCGGCGCAGTGCACTACTGGGCTTTCTGGAGAGGTGTTGGTCTAGAGTACCTAGGTTCTGGCGCAGTTGTGGGCTGTACAAAAGCTGGGTCTTTGGGATAGAGTGGGGTTAGCAGTCGGCTGTGTTTGTAGGGAGGGCTGCTTCGGGGCCTCATACACCATTCTCGTCCTTTCTCTGTCACGCTCTGTTTCTGATGGGTGCTCAAACCAGCCTGTGAGCTCCCAGTCTGCTCAGGAACACTCATCTCCTTCGAAGCGGCTTTCTCGAAGATTGCGTTGCTCTATGCTGCGCGATTCGGACTGGCTGGCGTGTCACCTTCTCAGCCAGGGTGCTTGCGTGTTCTCAAATCCGCTCTAGGGTAATAGCATGACTTGTAGTTGTTCATGAACCTTCAAGCGGAGCGGAATTGCCTAATCGGGTAGTCCGCGATCTCCAACACCAAGCCGCAAGCTTCCGCAGCGTAGCAGGGGACCTGCATATCCCCGCAAAGCACAGACACAACTCAGGGAACAAGACTAACGACGACGCAAGATGCAGCGCTCACGTCTTCGCGTCCATTGCAAAGAGTGCAAGGCCAGCAACGATGTCGCGGGCTATGGATGAATCGCAGATACTGGCCTCCGAGCCGTTGACCGTATCAGAGACTTTGGACGACTGGGTCATGGTAAACAAGCCAGCCTCCCCTCCTAGAGCGAACTCTTCATAATCGCTATACACGCGGCTGACACTCCCCCAGGTCGACTCTTACGTATCCTCTCACGCCCTCCCCACCTCCTCCAGCTCCAAAATGGCCGTCGTAAAGGCCGGCCACGGCTACTCCTTCTCCGTCTCAGCCGGCGACCGCTTCCGCATCGTCGACCTCCACGGCGCCCAAGTCGTCGACTTCATGGCCTTCGTGCGCAGCGGCTCCTCCCTGACCAAAGAAAAACTCTCCATGGCCTACACCCGCTACCACCTCTCCGGCGTCCCCGCCGCCGTGGGCGAGCACCTCTACACGACCCTCGACGTCCCCATCTTCCGCATCACGGCCGACTCGGTCAAGGTCCACGACATGACCTTCATGAGCTGCAACCCGTCGTTCTACCGCAAGCTCGGCTATCCGGCCAGCCATCGGTCCTGCAGCCAGAACATCGCCGAGGCGATGGCGGCGTGGGGGCTCGACGAGATGGACATCCGGGCCACGGATCCGCTGAACTTGTTCCAGAATACGCCGAATTACACGATCAAGGCGTTGGGGAGCAGTAAGCCGGGGGATTATGTCGAGATGCAGGCGCTAAGGGATGCGGTGGTGGCGGTGAGTTGTTGTCCATATGAGGGGAATGGGTTTAATGGGGGGAAGGTTACGGATGTGGGGGTTGTGACGGGGGTCAAAAGCTGAGAGTGTCTCTTTGCCCGCGCTCAGTCCGGGTGTTGCAACAGCGGCTGTGAAGACAATAGGATCTAGAGACTCTCATGTCTCCAGGGGGCGGTCCCCCGAAGCCCTCTCTCGAGTGGACCACTGACCCACATGCTACACAACGAGTCTCGTTTGAAGTCTGTTATGCCAGCCGCAGCGGTCGAATAGCTGGCACAGCCCGCTAATGCGTAGAAGATCCGACCGAAATGCTTCTGTTCAAATGGTACTTTCTTGTTACGCTGATGCCTGAGCTTTTGAACCAGATCATACACTCTCGTCAAAAACATTACTGTCATTGTCTCATTCCCGAGTATCAGTCGATATAGAAACCTCGTCGGTCATGATAATCATGCTCCACTTGGTGGTACCCCAACGCCGCCAGCCAATACAAAACACCAACCGATACTCCATCTGCTTCTTTGTCATCTTTTCCTTGCGCCGCGGCACGCAGCTCTCAAATCCTAATACTCTGCAAGCTTCAATCACTTGGGCCTCACTCATACCGAGCTCCGGACATTCAAAACCTAGCTCTCGATATGAGAGACGTCTTGTGCGGCGGTCCTTAGTGATATAAGCTTCAAGGATAAGAAGCTTATCCTTTGTGACGTTTGACGGCCTACCTGGACGCTGCCTCTTACTTGGAGTATTATTTTCGTTAAATTGTTCATTAACTCGACCAATCGTGGCTCCATCACAGCCTATAAACTCTGCAACCTCCTCCATAGTAGCCGTGGTGAACCGATAAAGGGACAAAGCAATAAGGCGTTGATCGCGTGTGAGCTCGGAGCGTTCCGTCTGAGTATTATAGACCGGCAGGCCTAAATACGTGAGGTAAGGGTCGTTTGGCTCGAACTTAATTGCCGGTAGAGTAGCGCGGAGCTTGCGTGTCCTTCAGGAGGGGGTTTGGGGGGGGTGGAGGGGGCGTTGGAGCTTTATTTGCTGCTGATAGAGACTCGCGGAGCGCGCGCCGCCGGTGATGGCGTGTTTCTGTGCGTGCGCGCGCCATAATAGGGTATAGGATAGCTAGTAGAATAATAAGAACGAGGTTTAGAGCTCTGCGGAGTTGAAAAGCTTCATCACCACCAAGCTGACCTTGGCACTAGCTGAATACGGCTAGTTATCTGCTAGACTTAAAACATCTAGCATAACCAGACTAAGACAGACCCTCGGTACATCTTTAAGCTCTTGCACGTCGGGCACCGTACGCTATGTCATACGTGGCCTAGCGGGCGGCACGGATTACGAACTGGCGGTACAATGATGGCATGAAAAGCAGAATCAGATAGCCAGAATGGGACCCCAGCGCCCAACCGCCCAACTAAGTTAGCTCCTTTTTTTCCGACTGCGTCGAAGTCGCAAAATTGTGGCTAGGGAGCTGAGCCACACGCTGCATAGCCACTCACGTGGCTGGGACGGTCTATAATCAGTCAGTCAGTCAGTCGCACAACTGGCGGCACCCAAAGCCGGAATATCGAAAGCTACAATGATGGGAATAGATCACAACCCAACAGTGTATATAGCAGGAATAGGGTCTCACTCCTAGGCTTGCGGAGACGGACTCGTGATTGCGATCCTGCGGTTCCTATGTTTGTTCTGGTCCTTCCCCGCCTTTCTCCGCCTCCGGCTCAGTCGCCACGCGGTGTACCTTACCGCTGGGTTCCTCAGTTTACAATATCCCCCGCATCTCGTGTCTAACACGTTCACCTCCATCCGTTGCAAAAGCTCTGCAAGCAATGACCTTACTCGGCGTCCTTTTCGCGGCACGCTGGCCGTTGATTGCCGTCGTGATCTTGGCGTATGCCTTTAGGTTGTACAGACAGTACTACAAGTTAAAGGACTTCAAGGGACCTCGGGGTAGCGGCTTCTCCAGTCTCTGGATGCTCTATGCCACTCTAACAAGGAGGACCAACTTCAAGTTTGCTGAAGTCAATGAGAAATATGGTAAATGACTTTACTTCTTTACTCAATTCTGGATGTTCTGGTTCAGGAGAGAACTCCTGGCAACTCTTTAGCTATCCTGTATTTCACCTAATTTGGGTCCATGCTTGTTTATTGGACAAAGATCCCAAAAGTAACAAATTCATGTTCATGCTTTGCAGGTTCTATTGCTCGTATAGGAACCAATCATCTCCTCACTAGCGACCCCAAACTGCTCTTCCGGATGAACGATGCTCGATCTCCGTATACTAGGGGCAGGTGGTACAAAGGGTCACAATTCCAACCGGGCCGTGACAATATCATAAGCGGAATAGATGAAATGCAGCACACCAAGAGAAGGGCTCAATTGGCGCCAGGGGTATGCACCAATCTCTTACTTACGTTTCTCTGTCCTAAACCGAGGGCACGAATGTTAATATAAGACACACACAGTACTCTGGCAAGGACAACCCTGATCTGGAAGAGTCAATTGATACTCAGCTTCAAGCGTTTGTTACACTGATTCACCGCAAGTATCTCTCCACGCGTGAGATATTTCGACCTATGGACCTGGCTCGCAAAGCGCAATTCTTTACCCTCGATGTCATCACTAAAATCGCTTTTGGAGAGGCATTTGGTGATCTAGAGCGAGACGAGGACATGTATAAGTATCTAGAGTTTACAGATGAGATGGTTGAAGTCATAATATTAAGTGCCACTGTCCCGCTCTTGGACTGGTTACGGTCGTTCGACTGGATTGCGAAGCTCGTATTCCCATCGGGAAAGGAAGCTACTGGCCCTGGGAGACTGATTGCGTAAGTCTGATTTTGTCTTCTGACGATAGGACGAGCATCACTTGTACTGATTATGACTTCCAGCATCGCTCAGGAACTTGTTGGGAAGCGCTTCGGGCCCAAAGCGGTTTCGCGTCGAGACATGCTTGGATCATTCATACGGCACGGCCTGGAGGAGGATGAGCTTATCTCGGAGTCCCTCCTCCAAATCCTCGCAGGCTCTGACACGACGGCCACAACCCTCCGGGCTACAATGCTGTTTTTGATGAGCCACCCATCCGCGTACCATAAGCTGCAGGAGGAGATTGATACTGCGGTCAGAGAAGGACGAGCTTCAAGGCCAATCATCAAATATTCCGAGGCCCATGAACTTCCCTATTTGCAAGCAGTAATCAGAGAGGGTATACGGATCTGGCCTACAGCTACGGGGCTCCTTACCAAGGTTGTTCCGCCGGAAGGGGACATGGTGACGGTTGACGGCAAGCGCGTGTTCCTTCCCGGCGGCACAAATATTGGAACTTGCGTCTGGGGTGTGCTGCGCCGAAAAGATGTCTTTGGCGAAGATGCCGACGCGTTCCGCCCAGAGCGCTGGCTCGAGGCGTCCGGGGATAAACTGGTGTATATGCACAAAACCGGGGACTTGGCGTTTGGTTGGGGTAAGTATCAGTGTTTGGGAAAGAACATAGCCTGGATGGAGTTAAGCAAGGCCTTCTTTGAGGTATCACTGAAATGTCTTAGATTCCTTTTAGGAAATCTGGCTAACAAATACACCAGCTTCTCCGTAACTTTGACTTCGCAATCATGGATCCGACGAAGCCTTGGAAGAGTAAGAATGTGGGCCTATGGATAATTTCGGAGCAGTGGGTGCAGGTTACCGATCGCCTGGGCGCCTAACATCATGTGTTTAATAATATTGTTACTAGGTTAGAAGATACTTTCAATTGCACGCTGCCTATTTTCTCCTAGCTGTACGCTATGCTTGAGAGCAGGCCAGCCTATTTCGCGACTTCACCCAAAGAGCTGCTTCTTGCCCTAATGCTATTTAGCAGAGCTTAATTTTTTCGATTTCACTCCGTCCACTTTCGATCTCTTTGTTTATCTCATGTAAAGTCTGCTTTGCTTGCTTGAGGCATAAGCTGTGCGTTGTGTAGCGCTCTGGCAGTGGAAAGCGAGGAAGAGGGTATACAAAGGTATTGCATGAACGGGCTGGACGACCACCCTGTCTAGCGTTGTACTTTTAAGCAGAAAGTACATACAAAAGGCACAGCGCTAAACAGAGTGGGCTGTCCGGCCCGTATGTGCAAGCCCTTTATACTAGCGGTTAGAGATCGTGGTAGGCGCAAAGCTCAACAGTAGGTCATAGCAAGATGGAATGGAAACTCCCGGACCGTCTTCCGCGATACAGCTAGTGTAAGCTAGTGTGGTGGTGTAGCAGGTTTCATCACGTGTGAGGCCTCGATTGGTATAAGAAGGTTTGGAGGATTCAGACTGCAGAACTGGCCAGAAGACAATCCGTCCGGGACAGGCGTAGCTCTCGTCACGCAGGCGTAGACAGGAGTCTTGGCACAAAGCTTGGCACTAACTTGTTAGTGTATCCCGCCGGATGGTTGGATGGTCTACTGGCTACTCTGCGCTCTGCGCTATTTTAATCTAAGCGAATGATGTTAGAACCCGATTCCGCGCCCGCACGGGGTATTGTTGTACCTTGTGTCTACCGCTAGCGTCTGTTGATCAAGCCCCTGCCAGTGGAAATTGTCAACCCGACTAGCGGTCGGGATGTGAGAAGGGACTGTAACGGGAAGCTGGAGTTTGACCGCTAGCCGCCGCTGATCAACTTCTCCTGCTTGAGGCAAAGACCGAGCGGGTGTGGCGTTTTAGCGGTGGGGAGGTGGGAAGAGGATATATATGCTTCATTAGTTGCATGAGAATGCGACCGGAATTCTTCGTATTTGTCTTGTTTTTTGGATGATCATTCAATTTTTTCTACGAGGTCTTTTGCACCATTACCATTACTGTAGAATGTAAGGGTTTGTCCTACATACCGAAGCATGCAATCCGAAGGGGGTCCACCTGCCCAAGTTCAAGCGGAAGATAACGTCACAGAGGCCAATGTGAGCACTCTTGTCTATCCTTGTCCTCCAACATGCAATCGGCAGCAGCCTGACACTAATCACACTTATAGGACGGTAACCACGATGACGGCGATTCAGCATTTGCGCCTGTAAGTCGGACACCTGTTTCCATATACTGTGAACTTATATCTGGTTGTAGAGCGAAGGTGATGAGAGCTCGACAGCGTCAATCACTTCGAGTATCCTCGAATACCGGACAAAAAACGGGAGAGTGTATCATAGGGAAGGGAGTAAGAGGAGCCTCTTTCCCTTTGTAGATTTATGAAAAGTCTAACTCAGCTCAGAATATTTCCTACCCAATGACGAGGTAAAGCCTTACGGTATCGCTCTAAATATGGTGTTCTACTAATGCGGTGGGATAGAGAGAATTAGACCGTTTGGGTATGAAATTCAGCAAAGACAGTATAACAATATCTAACCTAACAATAGATCTGCAACACCACATGTTCCTTCTTACCTTTGATAACAAGTTATGCCTCTGCCCAATCCCCCAGGACAAGCAGTTGCACCGTGTGCTCGATGTAGGCACCGGAACTGGTATCTGGGCGATGGATTTTGGTGAGTACTTTGTCTGAGGTGATCTAGTGGTCAAGGTTGGGTAATATGCTGACCCTTATTCAGCTGACGATCACCCTGAATCCAAAGTAGGGTTCTTCTTATGAGAGATCGAATAGATAGCACTAACTCGTCTCGAGGTTACTGGTGTTGATCTCAGCCCTACCCAACCATCATTGTGTGTGCTCTGCCCAAACGTTGACAACATCTATATTTACATATCATAGCGTCCCGCCCAATGTGTTCTTCGAGGTTGACGACCTGGAGAAGCCATGGACTTTCAACCAGAAGTTCAACTTTATCCACTGTCGCATGATGACAGTCTCATTCTCAGACTGGCCTGGATTCTTCGAAAGGGCTTTCGAGTAAGATTTCCGAGAAGCTTTCTACCAAATATGCACTATTGGACATTATTTCTGGCCTCTCCTCGTTGATCTTCATTCTTACTAATTCACTCAACTTCAACTAGATTTCTCGAGCCGGGTGGCTACATTGAAGTAACAGATACCTCCCTACCTGCCCGTGCGGATGATGACTCGCTCCACACCAATTCCGCATTACAAAAGTGGTGTGAGATGTTTCTCGAAGCGTCTAGAAATATCGGCCGTCCCGCCAATAGCGCAGAATCATACAAATCGCAGATGGAAGCCGCTGGCTTTCAAAATGTTGTAGAGCGAAAGTTTAGGTGGCCGCTGGATCCCTGGCCTGAAGATCAAAAGCTCAAAATGTTGGGTAAGTCTGATATAAACTTTTCTCTCAGCCTACCTTTAGACTCCAGGACTTTCTTTCTAGCCATAAACCGGCGAGATAAATCTACGATTTTGACATACAAGGAGCTAACAAGGATAACAGGGCGGTGCACATTTGCAAACGTCTATCAAGACCTCACGGGAATCAGCGTGGAGTTGTTCACAAATGGTTTGGAATTATCGACAGAAGAAGTGGAAGTACTCTTAGTCGACGTTAGGAAAGAAATGAAAGATACGAAGATCCATGCTTATTTTCCAGTGTAAGTAGGCTGTTATCCTATCGATTCAAATCCTGATGCATTCATCATTTACTGATACGTCTCCTTAGACACGTCTTCTACGCGCAAAAGCCAAGTTAGATATGCGTCGAGATGTCAACGGAGAGATTGCGCGATAGGCGAAGATGTGGGGCGCGCTGTTTGGGGGGGGGGGGGCATTGCTTCGGCGTGAGGCTACGGGAATGTTCTCCTTCATTGCCCAACGCTCTCGGCTAGATTGGCTTATGTAATAATCCCTGCTGCCCCCATCAAAAGGTCGCGTTATGCTGATGCCTGAGCTTTTGAACCACATCATACACTCTCGTCAAAACCGTTACTGTCATTGTCTTATTCCCGTCCCACTCATGTTACACCGCAGAACTTCCTCAGACCACCTACGTCCACCTCAGCACCCAGTCACTGCTCCACGCCCCCTCGCTCGTCGCACTACCCAGGCCAGTGACTGTCAAAAGCCCACTAGTCTCATTGAAACTCACCCCACTGCTCAGCGCATGGCCATTCAACGTAACATTCCCAGGCGCGCTGCTCAACCCCATGACCGTAACATTAGCAAGCGGATTCGCATCCCTGTACTCCCCTCTCGCACTTGCATACAACGCGCCGCCCACAGCCGCAAAGTCAACCAGCAGCGTCGCATTCTGGACCAGGCTCTCCCCGTCATCGACATACAACTGCCCCGTCGCAGTCCCCTCCTTACTCAGCGCAACCAGCAAGCCCCATGGATTCTGCCGACCGAGCGCAGTCGTGTATCCCGGCTCCTGCAGCGGCAAGACGCTGCCGCCCCGCACATAGAGCGGGATATGGCCTAGCGGCGCCGGGATTGTCACATTCTGACCCGCGCTGACGCCCGTGACGGCCGCCTGGCTGTACCAGTCGTACCAGAGCTCTCCGCTGCCGACGCCGGGAAAGACGCCGTCCACGCTGCTGGCACCTTGCTCGAGGACGGGCGTCACCATCAGCGAGGGGCCGAGTAGGAACTGCCGATCCGCGTCTGCGAGGTATGGCTCGTTGGGGAACTCCCAGGCCAGAGCGCGCATGACGGTCGAGCCGGTCGTGTGGCTCAAGTAGAAGAGCGTGTACATGTAGGGGAGTAGGCGGTATCTGATGTTCATGGCCGTCTTGCTGGCGTCGAGAACCGCGCTCCAGACGTATGGCTCCTGGGGGTTGGCGGAGAGGACGTTGTGGTTGCGGTAGAAGGGGAAGAAGGCGGACAGCTGCATCCAGCGCGAGCAGAGCTCCATGTCGGTGTTACCGTTGAAGCCGCACGTGTCGACGCCGAACATGGGGATGCCGAATAGTTGGAAGGAGAGGGCTTGGGGTATGCCAAAGTACATGTAGTACCACTTGCTTCCGTTGTCGCCGCTGCATTGCTTGTTAATGTGTTGTTCAGCTGACACATTGAGACGACCACTCACCCCCAGTGACCAGACCATTTGCCGGATCCGGGGAACGTGGAGCGGCCGATGATGAAGGGGCGTTTGCCGGGGAAGACCGCAAGAAGGCCTTGGTAGGTGGCGTTCAGGATCTGATGACCCCATATGTTGTGGACATCATACTCTACCGTGCCGTCAACGTGGGTGGCGTTTGGTGAGACAGCGTGCACAGCAAGATCGCCATGTATGTTGTTGATTACGTAAGGTGGATGGTTGATATCCCGTACTCCAGGCGTCGGCGTTGTGCGGAGGTAGTTTGGCGTAGTTGACGACGTGGAAGTTTGCTGGTCGGTCTCGGTTGGAACTGCGGTCATGGACGCAGCAGCCTGGCTTGATGAAGCGGCGGACGCCGACGCGGCTTCAGTCGCGTTGGTGAGGTTAAAGCCTTCCGGGTACCTGCATTTTGTCAGTGCTCAACTCCGTTTGTGAAGGCGGAATTACATACTCGTATATTAACGCGCCCTCTTCTCCAGGGAGTTTGAACGGAACATGCACAGGGTTCAAGCTGAGATTGCCAGAGCCGCACGAACCTACACAGAACGAAGCGACCTCGTTCATATCGATCCAGAAACCGTCGTATTGGACGTCACGGTACCATTGGACCTGGCGGCGTCAGTCCCTTCGACTTGCAGATCGGCCGGGCTTGACGTACCATCTCATTTACCCACCACGCAACGGCGTTCTCGGTGAACCAGTCCGGGAAGACTGTGTAGCCCGGCCAGACAGCGCCTATGTACTGACTTCCGTCGGGATTGTCGAGGAACACATCAAGCTCCTGCCCGCGGGTGTATGTAGCGTATGCATCGCTTTCGTTGTCTGGATTCGGAATGTAGATAGCTGCCAACCGTCAATGGAGCTAATACTTTCCGACACACTCGGGGCCTACTCACCAGCATCAACAATCGGCATGAAGTGCTGCCCATCTGCATGCAGGTTGGAAAAGAACTCCAATCCCTCAGCAAGCGGGAAGGTGACGTTATCAGTAGTGAAGTCACGATACTGGTTCATGTAATCGATATCGGCCCAGATAGTCTCAAGAGGAAGGTCAAAATTCCTGAAATTGTCCACAACCTCCTGCAACTGCGTCCAGTTCTTGTAACCCCAGCGGCATTGATGGAAGCCGAACGTCCAGTACTGCTGCATGGCGGGCAGACCGGTTACGCTGTGCTGATATTGCTTGGCAACTGCATCGATGGAAGGACCGCTAAAGAAGAAGAGGTCAATGCTGCCGCCCAGGGTGCGCCATGTAACGTTGTCGTGCTTCAACACCACCTCTTGCCCGTGAGTGTTCCTTAGAAAGACGCCGTGCGTATATGAGACGTAGTCTGTGTTTGCATCTGTCTCATTGCCAGTGAAAAGTGTCGTGTTGCCTGATTCGGAGTCGACTTCAAAGTAACGTGTGTCGTAGTATATTGGATGGCTACCGTAAATGTTGTAATCAATCTTGCAACAGTAGTCAATGACACGATTCTCTTACGCGCTTAAACGACGTCTGTTCTCAAGAACGAGACAGGGAAGTCAGTGGCTTACAGGGTCACCAGCATCTGCTGCGTATATGGTAGCAGAAAAGTTGTTGCCGAGTCGGAGGCTATGGATCCGTTCTCCCAAGCCATAGAGGTTGTAATTCTCCGGAAGAGCAGAGACAAACTCAATGAACTGGTTCTCGTACACCAGGACACTACCCTCAGTTGTAAAGACAACATCCCCGGTGCTCTTGCGGATCACAGTGAAAGAGAAGACTGGATCATTGCTCCAGACAAACTGGAAGTCATTGGTCTGCGTGGTCGCGCCTGCATCTTCGTCAACCGAAGGTCTGGGGATGTACTGCTCCGGAGGGATGTATTGGGATAAATTCGAAGCCGCCTGTCGACATGAGCCTCGCTGGACTGCGCAAGTAATAACTGTCTAGGATTCGACATTGGCATAGAATGGCTTACAAGGTATGCTGGCTGGATATTCACAGACAACCTGTCGGCGGACTGATATTCGACAGTGAACGTCAAGGTTTCAATGTCGGTACCGTAGACATTGCACGGTTCACCCGCAAGCGTTAGGATAGCGGAGAATCCATTAGGGCCACGAGTAACGCCCGATGCTCTGTAGCCTGGGCAGACGGTCTGCGCATCTACAGCCTCCGGATCACGAACGTTAGGGATCAGTGTTGCTCCCCGGTCAGCGGTTGATGGAACAGTGAACTGCGCAGAAAACGTGGACAGGACTCCGCTGATAGTCGCGGTGCCAATGCTGCCGGTTGTCGAAGTGGGATTCTGAGCCCCGGTGAGGCCGGCGGTCAGCAGAGTGTACAGTAAGACGCCCACCGCGCGTAGGGCAGAGCGTGTCATGATGGATCAACCCGATAGCCCCAAGGGCCGGTACAAGCAGTAGGAAACGCGATTGGAAGTGGGAAGGGAGTAACGAGCTGTTGCAAGCAAGAGACGGGAATGGGAGAATGAGAGACCAGAGAAAACACAATGTGACACGGAACAGCTTGATTGAAATGCGAGGAGCTCATTGCATCTAAGCCAGGACAGCTCCACGATCCCCGCCATGAGTAACGCTCAGTGACGGTGGAAGCGCATGAAACGTGACAGCTAGCGAAAACGCGCAGGATGAATAGGTCGGCGCATGAAGATCAGAGGGGTAAGGTTTACTTCAAGCCATGCTGGCCCGGCGAACTTGATTCCGCGGACGGACAGCTCCATAGTGGGATGACCTCAATCCGAGGGAACGGTTTCTCCCCTCTTCGGCAAAGCTCTCTCTAGGCTACTATGCGGAGTAGTGACTGAAACTTACCGGAAGCGCGTGTGGCCGGATCAGCCAGGCGTAAGAGTAGTAAAAGAGCTGCAGCAGCAACAGGAAGATTGCCCCAGAGATCACTACGGGCAACCAGCGGTGCTTGAGAATCGGAATAAGCATGGGGTGAAGCTTTCCTCTAGAGTACTGGATCTAAGCAGGGGCTCGTCGCTCAATCAGGACGGACGCGTTGGCGTGGTTAGCGGCTTGCAGCCTTGCTTAGTCGGTTCCGGAAGGTGTTGCTCTGCAGAGACGGCAGAGGCAGAGACGGCAGAGAGCTGCAGGTGGTGCTGGAGAAAGCCCAGGGCGGGGAAAGGGCGGGACGTCGCAGAGGAGGGAGGGTTCACAGGACATGCAGCAGAAACGGTCAAAGACACAGAGACATGCGAGGAAGCCTCCCCAGGGTTCGGCGCCTTGAGATCAGCGAAGCTCACCTGGACAGTGTCACCGACATGCATCTGAAGACCTCTCTCGGCCCGAGAGCTGGAATCCCGTGTGTGGCGCACACGGGCCGCTACAACGGGCACTACCCCACGACGGCGCTCTCTAGCGCTTACCTAGTGGAGCGAGCCGTTGTTGATTCATGGCCCACCTGCATCAACGAGCTACTGTCGGTTGCGGAGAGATCAATTTGCGGCTTACGCCTGATGACGGTGGGCCGTGGGGCAAGCCTCTCCGACGTTCTCTCCGACTGCAACATCGGCTGCCATATCCTCATCAATCTGCAGCAGGGCAGTGTCCGATTTCGACACGACGACTGAATGGACAGATCACGTGAGATAGGACTATGCATTCCGAGTCTATTTGAGGTGTAGCATGTATCCGCCGTTTCCACAGAAGAGGACCGTGCTCGCATCAACCTCAGCACAAGCGTAATTCCCCGTCCCCGAGATGCCATCCGCCGGCATCTTGATCTCGACCCTTCCCCAGTTCCCCGTTCCCGGATCTGCCCCAGCCTGCTCACGAATGTAATCCTTCATGCTGGCAAGAGTGCTTTTCGCCGATGGGAGCTGGTACGTCCACATCTCCTCCATCGACACCGCATACAGCAGATACTCCCGCCCCTTGCCAGTGGAGACAGGTAACAGTGTGCCGATGCTTTCTCTGTTAAGCTTCGGCCCAGGAATCAGCGGGTTGGAGGGGAACTCGGTTCTCTCCCACTCTGCAGCCGGGGCAACAAGGTCAAGCGTCCAGAATTCCCCGCCGAGACCATCGGTGGACGTGAGCGCGTACACCTTATCTTGAGCGACAGTGACGGCGTGGCAAGTCATCGTTCCGGATGCGGGTGTTGTTGGTAGGGAGAGGTTGGTCCAGTTTCGCTTCGGCATGTCGAAGGACCAGATCTCGTTGCCCAGCTGGAGAATGAGGCTGTTGCTGTGCACGGTTGCGCTGGAGTGAACGCCTTCTTTGGCTTGGGGAATGTTCAAGCTCTAAAATGAGCTATCAGCGCTGTTCACTTGCGATGAGATCATAGCCGGGGAGCAGTCACCTCTCCATCCACATCCAGCTTGGTCCACATCAAAGACCCCGTGTCAAAAGCCCAAACGTCTTCACCGCCGGAGTCACCTCGACCCAGGACAGCAATGCTATTCGCGGAAGGGGCAGCGACATAACATTCTCCTGGACTGGGCACGTCTCCGCCTTCTACAGCAGGTATTGCAGGAACGCATTTGTAGGCAGGCTCCGAGGACGTTGTACTGTGCGGCAAGGTGACAATGTGCATCTCGTTGCCCGCCAAGGATCCGTCTTCGACATTGCGGCCGCCGAAGATGTATGCTTTGCCATTGACAACGCTGACACAGTGGCCTCGGAGGGAGAATGGGTCGGAGATTCTACATGAAAGACGTCAAACCGGTGTTCAGACTTTTGTCGGGTCGAGGAAGGAGTAGAAATGGTCTCTTTACCTACTTACGGCGACGAACCCGGCGTAGCGAAACGTGTGAGGTGGCCGGTGAGTGGCATCGTGGGCTGAGCTGCCGCATACCCAGCAATGGCACCACCTTCCACGGCGGTGGAGATGACCTGCTCGGCGACTACGAATCCCGCCGCTGCCTCCATGACTTGGATTGTTCGTCTCTGGGCGGGGAGATCGTTGGGTTACTTATCGTGTGGAGGAGGGTCGATGTGATGAACTCGCTCAGCCTTGCGCGCCTGCCAAGCAACCGTCAGGATCTTCAAACTGCATCCCTGCTGCAGATCAGGTTCGGCCCGGCCCGATCCAGCCAGCCACTAGCTCAAAATCGCTGACGAAGAGTGCGTAACGGCATGGCGAGGGCGGCATCTCGATTTTGCAGTTGAATCGCCGCCATGTACTCTTCGTTCGGTTCCCAGCGCCAGTTTTGCTGCTCGAAAGCCCGCCGTGCACTGCTCGTCTGGCTCTTGGGGGTCAATCTTGCTGCTGAAGCCCCGCCATGCACCCTTCGTCGAATTCTTGGCCGTCCCGAACCTGCCGCGTGTGGCGGAGTTAGAATGCTTGAATGGACACTGTACTGAGATTGTATGGCACATGTCGCTGCGTGTATCTGAATCGGACTGCATAGCGACGGAGAGGCTCGGTCCAAAAGCTGCCTTGCTTTACGAAGAACTACTAGTACACTTTGTACGATATGGGGTGCCGTGGTACGTCGACGATGGATATCACCTGATTATCAATCGAGTCCGAACCATACCTCATCACCCATAGGAAAATCAAGATCTTGGATGAATGAGTCATTCGAGGAATTCGGAGCGAGGAAACACTTCTCCTAAATTCCACCATAGATTCCCGCCCGCCACATCTATCACACTTCCACACCTCATACTCTCGCCTTCATCAACACCACTAAGCCATGGCATCAACCAACACGACATCCATCCCGCCCTGCGTCGTGTTCATCAACGGTTTTCCAGGCATCGGCAAGCTCACAGTAGCTCGCACATTACAAGCACAAATCACTTCAAATCCCACAACTCTGATTCACAACCACCTCCTCATAGGCCCGGTCGAAGCCATCGCACCAGGACGGACGCCACTCCACTACAAGTTGCGACGAGAGTTTCGCGAGTTGGCTTTCGGTGCGCTCAAGGACGAAGCAGATGAGGCCACAGTTCTCATCATGACTTCTTGCACCGCTTCAAACGACGCCGACGCCGAAGTTTTCGCCGAGCATGTCGACATCGCGCAAGTCCGAAAAATACCCTTCGTGTGCATAAACTTGCTCTGCGATGTCAGCAAACAACTCGCTCGATTGCAAAGTCAGGAGCGACGGTCCGGCCTCACATTCAAGCTCACAGATCCCACGGTGCTTGAGCGGATGATGAGGGATCACGAATTGTTGAATCCGAAGGACTTCCCCGGTGTGGCAGAGAACTCCGACGTACGGTTTTTGGAGCTCGATACGACGCATCGAAGTGCGAGCGAAGCGGCAAACGAGATAATGCGCTTCATCAAGAACATTAGGCCCGCTGGAGATGCACCCGACGAGGCGATCGATATGGGATAGTGGCTGGGGAACCTTTTCAGATTGAAGAAATAGACTGGACTAGCTACAGAGCGAGCGACGTGATAGATGGACTGGACAGCAATGAAAGACAGACTCCACTGCATCAGCTCCTAACCAGGCATCTCCACCGTTCCCAAAATCCGAGGGCCTTCAGTCCACCCTGTACGCCCTAATAATGCGATCCGGCTTCAAGTCGAACTCGCCCTTGTCGGTATCCACACTCAACTGCTTGCAATCGTTGTCGAGGTAGACCCTGATCCTCGTGGGATCGACATAGAAGTCGGTGGCCGGCTTGAATATGAACTTGCTCATCTTGACGTTCTTGAGGCGGAGTTCGTTGCATCCTGTGTCGCGGGTGCCGTGAGCGTAGATGACCTGCCCGTTGGCGTAGTGGAAGTCGACTTCCCAGGCGGAAGCGGTGGCGGCAGCGAGAGCTGAAACGAGGATGGTGGTGAGCTTCATGGTGTATGGTGCAGGTCTGGACGGATTAGCGGGGTAGTGGGCTGGGAGGAAGAGGGGAACGTGCTGTTGTTGAAGCTGGCTCTGGTTTTGATCTCAGATCTGATGATTCTGCGTCTTGTAGGATGAGTGGATATGAGTTTCTTGCTCCAAGAAGCCTGCTCTTTTATATCCCACAGACCCTCAGACTCCAGGCTACTTTCGCAGCCCACCACTTCCGTGTCAGTTGGACCATTCAGACACAGGTGATGCTTGAAGACAGGCCATCATCGTATTCAGCCATCTCCCGACGCTTCAAAACTTGTTCTTCGAAGAGCGTACTACCATCTTAGCCCAATAACGGTTGGACTTGTCGTGAAGGCAGATCGCCAACATCAAGCAGCCTCTATTTCTGGAATGGAAACTGATATACGACAGATACGAGCGGCGGCGATGTGGTCTACCAGGAGCACCGTGGCCAGTTGCTTTCCGCAAAATAGCTTCATGACTATATCTGGACTTCGTTGTGGAGCGTGCCTTGCGGAGGCATGGGTGGCCTAAGAGATAAAGAGGCCTCCAGCCTACATCAGGGCGTGCTCTCCTACCTTGTACAACACCACCGGTTGTTCTGATAGGAAACATGAAGCGTGCCCTGGCTTGACTGTGGACTAAAGAAAGAAACAAGGTCCGGAGGTGCGGCTTCAGGGACCGTTGCACAGGGACTGGTATGCCGAGCCGGCTGGAAGGCTGAGGCTTACCGGTACGTACCTCGTTTATGTCACAAGGCTGCGAAAAACGCAGAGTGCAAGTTGTGGGGAACTGCAGCTTGTTCCAAGGCTGTGTGAGCGATATTCTCGTCCCTTGGTGGCCGCACCGAACACGAGCTTGTGGTTCGAGCGTTCCTGGTTTGATGCAATTAGGATGGCAACCACGATTGGACATGATGCCGGCCTGATGGAGAAGGCGAGGGGTTGTTTCAGTCCTTTTCGACGCGGCTGACGCCTTGTCACGCCATAGTTGGCACTGAATGGGAAACAGTAAGTGTATGCCCACCATATCCCATCTTCGAACGGGCTGCAGGCCGTTTTCGTGGCTGGAGATTCGGAGCAGGCTGTCGTGGGTGGGTGACAGGCACCATCAAGGACACAGCCTTCTGGTTCGGCTCTACTGAGGTCGGCCCACCAGAAAAACAAGTCCTCTTTCGCCCAGCTTATATGATACCGCGGTTTCAGCTTGAACCAGCACGCAAGTACTGAGTACCTACCTAGACAGTAGGAGGAGAAACCCGTACTTAGCGCAGCCGGTGTATGGCCCGCAAAACGATGCCAAGCTCTGGTGAACAACGGTCAACGGCTGGTTGATGTCGCCCTCTACACCTCACGATGTAGACCTTTCACAAAATGTGGAGAGAGATTAGGAATCAGAGGTTGGGAGCATCCTGCGGTTCAGTTGGAGAGAGACTAGAAATCAACGGCCGTACCATCATCAATTGGCACTGTTCATTCGAACCGAACGATACATAAGTACTCATTTCTCGTAAATCTTCTGCTTCAGTATTTCTCAGTATTTCCCAGTATTTCTCATTGCCCTTCCGGACTTTCTAGTTTGTCTCCACACCAGAATCAAATCCACCATGGCACCAATTCGCGTAGGCTTCATGGGCATCTCCGCCATCGTGTGGCCCTGGTCAGAGGCCGTGGGATGGGCAAGGCAAGCGCATCTGCCATATCTCCTCAAGAGCCTGCGCTACAAAATCGTCGCGCTGTGCAACACCTCAGTCGAAAGCGCAAGAAGAAGCAACCAAAGGCCATGGGTTATCAGAATCAACAATGGCGTGCGGCTCGCCGGAAGACCTTGCGGCGGATCTGGATGTCGATCTCATCATTTGCAGCGTAAAGGTGCAGAAACACTACAGCCTTGTCAGGCTGGTTCTTCTGGCCGGTAAAGATGTCATTGTTGAGTGGCCACTGAGGGCGAACTTGAAGGAGGCGGAGGAGCTTACATTGATTGCGAAGGAGACGGGGGCGAAGACGGCTGTCGGTTTACAGGTGAGGTTTTCGCCAGCTGTGACGAAAGTCAGGGAACTGTTGGCAGAAGGCAGGATTGGATCTGTATTCGGCTCCACTTTTATGGGCGCAGTCGGTTTATACTCTGGTACTGAATCTGTGCGAGCCGAGTTCCTCATGGACATCAACACCGGTGGTAACCTGGTGACGATCCACCACGGCCGCGGTAAGTATTAGCATCCTCCACCCAGCACCGGATACACTCATTAAGAACTCACAGAGATCGATGCACTACTCCACACTCTCGGTGAGTTCGACACCTTCAACTCAAGGCTCGGCATCAAACGCCCCTTTACGAGAATGTTCAACAAAGATGGGACTGTCGCAAACCCTGCCTTGATGAGAACAACTCCCGATCAGGTCATGGTGCAAGGAGAATTGACCACTGGTGCCCTCGTCTCATCCCATTTCCGCGGTGGGAACCCGTACCCTGGAGAGCCGGGGTTGCTGTGGCACGTCTACGGCGAGAGAGGGGAGATTCGCATAACTTGCGATGATGCTTTTGTGCGAGTTGGGTCATATGATCCAAAAGTCACGATCTCGGATCATGCGACGAGAGTGGTGGAAGCGATAGAGCTACCCGAGGATGAGATGGAGGAACTTCCGAGAGAAAGTAAGAATACTGCTCGGTTGTATGAAGCTTTCGCGAAGGGGAGACGGAGAATCTGGTTGATTTTGGACAAACTATCGTCAGACACAGGTTTTTGACGAGGACTTCAAGGCTTCGGCGGAGAAAAGAGTTGGGAAGTACAAGCAGACTTATTCAAGGATGGATACCAAGCGGTAACTTAGAGGCACTTTGTGATCATAGACCTGGACATGGCAGACTAGTACTTATTATGAACAGATTGAAACATGGGAAAGACAGATAAATACAAGGCCGAGGTACTTGTTTACTTCGCCCCCGGTGCTGCGGATACCGGACTCTCTCCCCGTAGTCCTTCTCTTTCCACTGATTGCAGCTCTTGGGGGAGAAGTCAGCTGAACCCTTCGATAGCCCTCGTATAACTGGAGCCCAGCCAGTGCTTGGCAATCTCACCTCCCCTCTTTTCCTGAGCATTCTCCTCTTTCCTTCAGCGTTCGGAATACCTTTCAAGCATACGGTGTTAGCATGCACCCCGCGCAATCCACGGCATGTCAGGACTGTTGCTCGTTGCTCTGCATGCCTTTATCGGGGAGGCTGCGGCCGCCGCGGAAGGCGATACCCTGACCACGGAGTACCTTGGCTGGGTATCGGCTCCAAATTGCAGGCGAGGGACGCTCGACCTGCTATACAGTTGCGGATTCACAATCTTCCTATGCACTTGGAGTGCGCTTCACTTGAATGTCCCCGCGGATGATGATTCCGACTGGACGGTGTGGGTGCGCAAGTTGAAGTGGATGTCAATCGCTGTGTTGATACCGGAATATGTCGCTGTCGTGGCTGTTACTGAGTGGTGGGATGCGCGGTATCTGCGAAGGAAGATGCAACTCTTTTGCGAGGGGGTATGTCAGCGGGATGTCCGGTGGTTGGGCGGAAGAAGATTGATAACGCCGGTCTTTAGGGCTCCAAACCCATCTCGATGACCCAGAGCTTTTTGCCGGTTATGGGAGGCTATGCGTTAAAGACAAGGGCCAATAGCCTTATCAGACTGGATGGTTATCAGTTTCTTCGTCTGGTCATGGACAGAAAGATCTCCATCCCGACATGTACGACCGATGAGATCAATGATCGCTCCAAAAGTGACTGGGTAACAAAGTCTTTGGCTTGCATACAGGTGTCTTGGCTGGTTGTCCAACTCGTAGGCCGAGCATCGCAGGGCCTAGCCATTACCACGCTAGAGATCTTTACCTGCTCGACTGTGATCTGCGCTCTCACCGCTTTTGGCTTTTGGTGGAGCAAGCCACTAGATATCCGACTACCTTTTGTGATCGTTACCGGACACGACGAGGACTACATTCGGGAAACACTACGTAACCTGATGGATTCTCCAAGAGAGAACGCTCAGCATATTGACCTCACCGACGTACGATTTAGAAAGTGGGGCGAGAACAACTTGGGTCCCCTTGTCATGGTAACAGCAGCCGCAGTCGTATCCTCTTACAAGGCATGCCAACTGCTTGCTTGGAACTTCGACTTTCCCTCTACGGCTGAACAGATCCTTTGGCGGGCTGTAATCCTAGTGTCGGCGGCTATTACGTTGGCCTGGATCCCCTTCTTCAAAACGCATCCTGACCAGCGGTTTGATCAGGGCAGGTCCGGCAGGGGCCTGAACTGGAGTTCCCCTGACATGTTCATGTTCTTGGGTTACCTTTCCTGTCGTGCTTACATCCTCATTGAAATATTTATAAGCCTCCGCTCGGCTCCTGAAAGCGTGTACAGGACAGTTGATTGGGATCGAGTTCTGCCTCATCTTTAACTGGTCTTGAGAACGTTGTAAAGGTTTTAATTCGTGAGAATTCGAGTACTTTTGAATCCGTGGAGAGCGAGGGGAGAGAGGAATGCGCTTGCACTGTAGGGCCTTATGGAGGCATTTGTGCTGGGGATGCGGGTGTGCACACAGTTTGGCTAGAAGAACATGCCCTCATGAAAAGTCTTGGAGGCTCGCTCAGTGAACCGCTTTCGAATGGGTCAGCATGCAGGGGTGATGTTTTTGCTTGATACATGTCCATCATATGTACAGCACTCGAGCAGAAGCAAGTTCGCCCAAGACGCATGAACCCAGCTCCGCACGATGGGGCTCTCGACCCGCCTTCTCACCTTCCAATCTGATGTCTTTGAATGCAAGCCCTACTTATCAGCAGGATCCAACGGCTTCTCCCCCTCCTTCAACGTCTGCTTCGCCTTCTCCTCATCCGGCTTGTTCGGATCCTGCCGTATGTTTTCATGAGCACCCGACGGTTCCTCGCTCATTCCGCCCTGGTTGTCTGCTTGCGCCGGCGTCGCCAAGCTCGCAGTATCGGGGGAGCCTGACTTCGAGTCCGTGGCGCGGGACTGATTGATTCCTTGACTTTCAGCCGAGGAGGCGGTCGGATTTCCTACGTTGGAAGAATGACCCGGTGAGGCCTCGTCGGCGTAGAAGCGAGAGGAAGCTGTGGAGTATAGATTAACCACTGCATGGCATTGTGGAGCGTGCCATTGGGAGGTCGGAGGAGATTTACCTGGTGCAAGGCGAGTGCTGCGGAGAGGGGTGCGGAGGAAGCCCGTTGCTGGGCGAGCAGTAAAGCGTCTGAGGAATTGCGAAGACATCTTTCAGGGAGTTTAAGATGCGTTGTTCACGAGGTGATTGGGATGTTCGATGGTATATTCACGTTCAGTCTTTGACACCGAGGTTGGCTGGTCGTCAAAGCAGTTCTCCGGGAGCTTCAACAGCTGCCGCACGGCCCAGCATAGCTGTGACGTCAAGGACTTCGTCATGTGCATTCCACGTGACTTCTGCTTGCTCTTACAACATGCATCAAAGCCTCTGCAGCGATTGTTATCTAGGAAAGAGAGTCTGTAGCAGCATCCTGGAAGTAGGATATGGGTCTCTGAGTTTGGCGTGATGTTGCCTCCTGTAGTACAGATTTGCTATGTACAGATAGTAATGGCTAGAACAACGATTCATTGCACCCGCTTGCCTTGGACTTCGGACGTTCGTTAAGAGCGTTGTTAGTGTGGCACCTCTCGTCGTCCTCGCAAGACTCATATCGTCACTTCCGCCGGGATGGAAATTCCAAGGATGTCTACCCCTTTCTGGATTTCGCTCTTCGAAGGCATCTTCTTCCGCCTCATCAGCTCAGCCGACTGCGTCATGTACGGATCCTTCATCATGCTGGCTACAGCCACGATCTCGTCGCCCTGCGTGTAGTACGCGACGAAGCTCGGCTTCTCCGTATCACCCTGCACGACCACATCGTCGTAGCCTCCCACGGTGTTGCCGCAATACCGGAGCTGGGAACCGAGGGCTGACCAGAAGACGGGGATGAACTGCTTCGGCTGGCTGCCAGGGTTATTGATGACCTTTGCGACGGAGCGGCCTGCATTCTGGGCGACATTCCAGTGCTCAATCCTGATGGGCTGGCCATTTCCGCCCGGGCCATGGTAGGGATAGGTTGAGATGTCGCCAATCGCGTATACATCCTTCAAACCCTTGACGGCGAAACTCTCGTCGCAGCTCAAGGAGCCGTCCTTTTCGAGCTCCACTTCCTTGTTGTCTTTGAGGAACTCGGTAGCGGGAGCAACACCCACGCCTTCGATCACGAGGTCCGCTTCCAGCTTGGTGCCGTCTTTGAGGTATACGGCACCCACCTTGGAGGAGTCCGAAGAAGATGGCGTGGCCTTCTCGACCGAGGCCTCCATGTAGAATTTGACGCCGTTCTTCTCCAACAAGCCGCGGAAGATCTTTCCGACCTTCTCACCCATAACGCGGTCCATTGGCTGCTTCTCCATGCCGATGACTGTGACGTCGTTCTTCTTACTCGCGAGGCAGTTGGCGACTTCCATGCCGATGAAGCTGGAACCAATGACCACGATCTTCTTCCCGTTATCTCCAACGGCGTCCAGGATGGCCTTGGCGTGGGGTATCGCGCGTAGCACAAACACGTTCCCTAGATCCCCCTTCAATCCCTCCATTGGAAGCCATTTTGGACTGCCACCTGTACTCAAGACCAGCTTGGTATAGTCGTGTGTCTTTCCTGACTTCGTCGACACCTTTTTGCCGCCAAAGTCGACTGAAGTGACCTCATCGTCGATGAGATCGATAGAAGAGTCTTTGTAGAAGCTCTCGGGTCTCCAGGCGACCTTGCCCACGTCGGCGATGAGTGCCTTGGATAGCTTGGTTCGATCGATAGGCCGGTAGCCCTCGCGGGATATGATGGTGATGGGACCAGTGAAGCCACCGCCGCGGAGACCTTCCACCGCGCCTATAGAGCCGGAACCACTGTAACCGTCCACGGTCAGCGGTTGCATCCCGTCTAGAAGCGCCTACAAAGGCTCTGGAAAAGTGGAATGACATACCTGCCAATGACAAGCACCTTCTCATCCCCCTTGGCTTGACACTTGGTGTTCAGATGCCCTCTGCTGGCTTTGATGACTTCCTCCTCGCCCTTGATGTATACCCCGCCGTCCTTCTCGATGATCTCGAACTTGGCGATAGGGTCTAGGGCTGGTGCGTCTTCGACGTCTCCGGTCTTGATATCGAAGCATGCTACACCCTCGCCGTCAGCGCTTGTGTGCTCCAAGCCTAATGATCGACGCCGAGGCCTTCTGGAGATTGTGGTCTCAACACGTACCTCCATGCCATGGGCAAGTCAACCTTCCATCTCCCGTAACTACACCCTTTACCAGAGGTGCTCCGTAATGCGTGCAGTTGCTGCTTGTGGCATGGACCTGATCGTTGACCTTGATAAGCAGGACCTTGCCCTTCTCAATGCCCTCCACCTCCGCTTCCTTTTTCTCGCCGTTCTTCAAGTCAATTGAGGTCAGGCCCTTGAGCTTGTATTCCTGAGCCATGGTGCGGAGCGATGTGCTGAACTGAGCTTGCTGTACAATGGGCAGCTGGAGCGGACGGAATAGACGACGCGTAAGGAAGAGGACACGCTGTGAGGACATGAAAACAGCACTGAAGCAAGCAGAGGTGAGGAGAGAGTGGTGATGCACGTGGTGGAGACGATGGGGAGGGACCGAATCGTGAGCGTCAGCAAGTTAACCCCGCGTCTGATTTGCTAGAGGGCGATATGCAGGGTGATGACATCTTTGAACTAACCGATCTCGAGCTATTATCGAGCGTTATCGATAAAGCTTCATCCAAACATCGAGATACATCAATACATCAGTACATCAGTACATCAATAGGCAGCCATTACAAACTACATTCCTCGGGGCAGCCCTCCGCCGCAACTCAGATGCCCCACATGTTTGCTCTCAGCAGAGCTCCGTCCGTGTCTTCCAGGTCCAGACGTAGGATTCAACCATGCCTGTTACAACAAGGAGTCAGAACGCCCGGATAGCCGCGTTTCCTGCTACTCTCCGAGAGCAAGTGAATGGCGGTGACAGGCCACAGCGGCCGCTCGTAAACCAAGATCTCAATGCTCGAAACCCTGCTTCCAACGCTGCTGGAACATCCGCCGATGATTCAGACATACCGCCGACCTACACGATCGACCTCTCGCGGCCCCCTGCGGAGCGGTACATCGAGCTTGCAGAGGACTTCAAGCCGCAACTGCTCGGACTCACAGGCCTTTTCTCCGAAGTCATTAAGGATCTCGGGCTCGGCAACCATAGCAAGACCACCACGACCCTCGCTCGACTCTTTCTACGGCGGCTGCACAGCAAAGAGCAGACCGAGGAGCTACGCGGCATCTGTAAGGTGACTGGCATCGACATGTACCTCCTTGTTGCATTCAACACGCTCCTCGATCTCTTTATGGGATGTACGAGCGGCGGCGTAAGAGTCAGGGATGGCAATGGTAGCAAGATGCTGCATTTCAGAACGCTCGACTGGGGAATGGATGCCCTGCGGAAGGTGGTCGTACAGCTGGAGTTTGTTGATAGACCGCACGGTGAGGTTGTTGCGAGAAGTGTCACTTACGTTGGTTTTGTTGGCGTCCTAACAGCCGTACGGTAAGTGCTCATAGAATCCATGGCTTGCGGCTCTTCTTTCCCGCAAGCTAACTGCTGCCGCAGGAAGAGTCTTAGTATATCTCTCAACTTCAGGCCGAACCACAATGACAGTACTTCCAAACTATCAAATGTCAAGTTCTACTCTCATCATGTTTTGGTTCTGCTTGGCCTGCGTCCATCCATATCGTCCGTTCTGCGGGGATACATTCTTGCTCCGTTTCGAAACCACAACGGGCCGGATCTCGCATCCATAGTCCAGAGTCTCCCATCTACATCCTCAACGGCATCGTACGTGATCGCTTCAGATGGGATCACCACTGCTATTTTCGAGAAAGACCGCATCACGGCAAGAACAACGTGTTCATCTTCGTTCATCGTGGCCACAAATCACGACGTCTCTCTAGAAGCACCGCTCGTCTCTAGCGAACGTCAAAAATCAACCGAAGTTCGACCAAGCTACCAGCAGAACGTCACCGGCATCGAGGATCTCGTCGCAGAGTCCATAGACCGAAAAGGCTGCGTAACGGTGAAGTGGCAACGCGCTGTTGCTCGGTATCGAAAACGGCATCCCGGTGCAAGCGAGGATGAGGTCTGTGTGTCACAGAGCGAAGTTGTGAGCTGGCTAGAGGAGTACCCTATCACGAATGAGTGCACGCACTTCGCCACGGTCATGGACCCGAAGCTTGGTGAGGTTGTGTGGGTTAGGCGGTATGGGGACCCTGTCGACACGGACGAGGAAGAAGCGTGGCAGGATTGATTTAATCGATCCAGAGAGGCGTGGCAGTGCGGAAGAGTACATTGAGTGGTGGTGATATAGCCATTCCGCACGTTCCGCAAAACACCGTGCCAAGATTCTGGATACCACGGTCCGACACCCCAGACCCAATCATATTACCTAAGCCTCCATAGTCCCTTCACTGGACTGCGCGGCCTCGCTCACAACCTCCTCCTGCTTACCCGCATGAGCAACACGTGGGCATATTCATTACCCTGCTCGCTGAAACTCGAATCTGCGCAAATCGCAAATGTCAGTTACACCCATCACACACGAACTCTTGGGCGGACCTCCCACCTACCGGCCGCACCTGGATCTTGTATTCGTTGGCAGTCCGAGTTAGTGTATACCTTGGGAAGAACAGCGCCGCTGGACATGTGACTCCAAAGCTTGATTTCAAATATAGTCGCAAGGCGGTATTGGCTAGCGTAAGTGTGTGAAATCATTGAATTCTGGCAAGAGATAGAGCTTAGCCTCGTGGCGTCCCATCTTTTTCAAGAGCAAACCTCATCGCGCGAAGCATGAGGCTAAGTCATATTCTTTGCAGCCTCGGCATTTCATGAGTCGTGCTGTGCTTCGGCAGTTCTCCAGATGCCGGCGCGGGTGGCGGAGATTTATCGGTACTTAGCGCTATTCCGTTGCGGGGAAGGTCTCGACAATCTTGGAACACACAGCTGTGGGAAGGCCGGAATGGATTCTCCCACTTCTTGCCTCGTGAACTGGCACGACTGGTTAGAGTAATGCGGGGAAGGATGTCCAAGGAGCCTGCAGGATACTCGTCGTCGGGCCATGACTGACCGACGTTGCTGGCATATCATGCAGCAATCAGTCCCGATCTCGACTGCCGGCTGCTCTGGAGAACATCATGCTGCAAGCCCCGTTCAGCCTCGATGCAGGCACAAACAAATCCTGGCGGTGCCTGGACACCGACAGCCGTCCCTTGACGGTGCCCATGCGGCGATATAAGAACGTAACGCTGTCCGACCCTTTTCAATCGGCTGCATAACTGGTAGCAAACCTCAGCTGGGCATCCAACAATGCGGATTGAGAGTGTTGTTGCCCTCGCGGCACTAGGTGCTGCCAGACTTGTGCTCGCCACCGACTTCGAAGCCCACTGCCGTGACATCGCGTCACAGCTCGACGTTGCCAACAGCACTGTCTGGTTTTCTCAGTACGTTCCGGGCGGCACAAACCTGACTTTCCCGGACAACAATGTCACATGTGCTCGCCCGGCTCAAGTCATTCCAAAGGACATATGCCGCGTCGCCCTCTATGTTGCGACATCGAATCGGTCCGGTATCAGTATGGAGACTTGGCTACCCCGTGACTGGACTGGGAGGCTTCTAAGTACGGGCAATGGAGGCTTGGGTGGCTGTAAGTGGACCTCTCTCAGCTCCAACAGGGGAATATCTGCAGCCTTTCTTGTACTGGGGCACTAATGTATGTCTCGCAGGCATTCAGTATGAGGATATGGCATACACCGTTGGCCTCGGCTTTGCCACCATAGGCGCAAACAATGTGAGTGGTCATGTGTTTAACTTTCCTGTGTGGTTGTCTGACTTCATGCAAGGGTCATAACGGAACCAGCGGGGGTGCGTTCTACAACAATGCAGACGTCGTGCAAGACTTTGCTTGGAGATCGTAAGCAGACATACCCCAGGCCGATACGATGTTCCAACTGACTGGTTTGATAGTGTGTATACGGGCGTCGTAGTCGGCAAGCAGATCAGCAACGCCTTCTATGGAGCTCCACACACAAAGTCTTACTACCTCGGCTGCTCGACTGGTGGGCGTCAGGGCTTGAAGATGGTGCAAGACTTTCCAGATGCCTTTGACGGCGTCGTGGCCGGAGCACCGGCGAACGCTTTCAACAATCTGACTTCCTGGAGCGGCCACTTCTACACCCTCACAGGCCCCGTCAACGCAAGCACCTTCATCCCCGCAAGCATGTGGCCCGTAATCCATCAAGATATCTTGGACCAGTGCGACAACATCGACGGATACGCCGACGGCATCCTCGAAGACCCAGACCTTTGCCAATACCGTCCCGAGTCCCTGATCTGCGGCCCTGGCAACACTACCAACTGCCTAACCGGCGAGCAAGCCAGCACCCTCAGGCAAATCTTCTCCCCTCTCTACGGCCTTGACGGCAGCCTCGTCTACCCACGCCTTCAGCCCGGCGCCGAGCGCGTAGCGGGGCAAGCCATCCTCAACGGCCGGCCATTCCCGTACACCGCCGACTGGTTCCGCTACGCCGTGTACAACGATCCAAGCTGGGACCCTGCGACGCTGGACGCGGCCGACTACGCCTACGCCACGCGTCTCAATCCGGGCGGGATCGAGACCTGGAAGGGCGATCTCAGCGCCTTCAGAGACAGGGGCGGCAAGTTGCTCACCTACCACGGCCTCCAGGACGGCATCATCACCTCCGACAACTCGGCGCGATACTACAACTACGTATCCCGAACTATGAACCTGCCCTCGTCTGCGTTGGATAGCTTCTATCGCTACTTCCGCATCTCAGGCATGGAGCATTGTTCTGGTGGGCCCGGCGCGTGGCAGATTGGGCAGAGCAGGGGCAATGCGAGTTTGAGTCCTGATGCGAATATCTTGATGGCCATGGTGAGGTGGGTGGAGAACACGACCGCGCCAGAGAGCATTCTGGGCACGAAGTTTGTGAATGACACGAGGAGTTTGGGAGTTGCGTTTCAGAGGGCGCACTGTAAGTACCCAACACGAAACGTTTACTCTGGAGATGGGGATCCGACGGAGCCGGAGAGCTGGGATTGCGTCTAGTTGTAGATGGAGGAGGAGGATGAGTGGATGGGTCTGCTGCTCAGGGTTCGCTCTATCAGGGAAGACGTTTGTGTATCACAAGCGGAAAGATCTATTTCCATCCGTCTGAGTTTTCCCAATGTGCATTCAGCTCTCCGTCCGAGACGTTCATTAGACAGGGCATGGTAGGTACAAGAGGTCAGTGTCATCTTACCTTCATCTTCGAGATAAAGCAGCCTGCCCGAAGGCGCACTGCGCGAGCTTCCATGACGGTGTGACATTTTTCTACTTCTTCAATACATTAGACCACTTGTGTGCAGCGTGGTGGAGCTTCGCGGCGTCACTCACAGTGTCAATATGTGTGGATGTATGTAGAGAAAACATGTTGTGTGTGGGCGCGTCTCCAGAACAACGCTCATCTCACAAGATTATGTAATCGGCACGTCGCGTCCGCGTGCAGTCACGTCAAGCCTTCACTTTCGCTTCATCTCATTTCCTCCCACTCCATCCCACAACACACTCACCAGCTGCAATTCAAGCGGACATGGCGAGCAACTCGATGAACCAGCGAGAGCCCAAGGACACCGTCGACTACGGCGATGAAGACCTCGGAGAAGAGGAGCAGAGCAAGCCAGCGGGGATGAGGCTTCCAGTTGGCGAGGAAGACAGCCGCCAACACGGCAAAGAAGCAGAAGAAGACAGCCACCAGTACGGCGAGGCTGAAGACGAGCCGCCCGCAGAGCACAACAAGAGGGAAAAGCGCGGCACGGAAGAGGGACGGCCTCGGTTCCAGACTCGCGCGGAGTTGGAACGCAGCATCCAGACGAGGATCGCGGCTGCCGAGGCCAAGGCCAGAGCAGAGGGGAGGGCGGAGGGGAGGGCGGAGGGGAAGGCGTTGATGGGGCTTGAGGTGGATGATGCCTATGCAGAGGGCTTCCATGACGGGCTGCGCGAAGCGGAGGCGATCATTGCAAGGACGAACCCTAGAGCCTATCAGTCCTTCGGTATGTAATCGGCCGTTCTGTCCTACCTGTTGAGCCATGCTAACTTTCTCGATAGCTCAATCCGCCGCAGCGCCATCTTCGTCGCTGCCGCCGCCGTCCTCCGGCCCATTCGAGCAGCCCCCGGCTCCTTATGGTCCTGATGGACCGCGTCGGCGTCGCTGATCCTCGTTGATCGCGGCCGGACATTGCTGCTCTCGTATGCGCATGTCTTTCTCGGAGCCTCGCTGATCCTCGTTGATCGTGGCCGGACCTTGCTGCTCATGCGCAGGTCGTTTCTTGCTTGAAGTTCTGAGGGTCTGCTTTATGTAGCATAGCATCAAGTTCTGATTTTCTTCCATTGCAACTCTCCATCAGGTTGACCGTGACATGATGCTTGTGACCATCGCCTTGGCCTATTCAAGGGCTATCGTGTGAGTTTAATGCTACTGAGTGATGCTGACAATCCTCCAGTAGTCGGACAAGGTGACCAGATCAATGCACCAGCGGCCGGCCCTCGTCCCTGAGCCAATGCGGTTGCACTTGCGTGGGCGAGCAGAGGACGGTTGTATTCTTCTCATCACATGTACCTCCTGACTTGCGTGACCTGCGTGACTTGCGTGATCACTATGTCTACAACGAGTGCGTCGTCTGTGTTTTCAAGTTCAAAGAACTATCGAGAGGTTCTTGAACATAGCTTGCAGTCCTTGCCATTCAACCCTTTAGGTATCAAACACGACAGTGATTCGTTCGCCTCCTATCACCACGACCTCATGTACATCGTCGTCGGCATCCCGCTTGTTGACTTCTCTCGCTTTTCCACCTCGCAACCTACACACTCCGCTGGTCCCACTTGGCCCCTTGACCGTCATCCGCACATTGCCATCCGCGATCTCCCATCTCGCCTCGATGGTTCCATATGGTGTCGGCACTCTGCCTTCCGCCCACTGCAGACCCAACTCCAGCATTAACACGGGCTCAAACACCCAAGTCTTGTAGCCCGGCTCCAGTGGCCGCACCCCCAAGACGTAGCTGCTAAGCACATAGGTCGGCGCACTTCCCCATGGATGACTCAAACTCGTGTACAAACCTATTCCGGGACTGCCATCGGGGTATAAGTATTCCCATGTCGCGCCCGTATAGTACTGATTCTGGTTCAGCATCTTTGGCCAGAAGACATCAAGGAGGTTGGTGATGACGGGAACAACGACATCGGCAGCAACGTCCAAGTTGAGGTGAGCGACGAAGAGAGATTCGAGAAGGAAGCCTTGGATGTTCGGTGAGAGTTGTGTGAGGTTTGTGCTCGGAACTGCGGAGGAGTCTTTGTAGCCAATAGAGTGGAAAAGGATCGACAGCTTGGAGATTGCTGAAGTGGCCTGCGACGTGTTTGCGATGCCAGCAAGGATAGGGAAGGCGGCGGCTGCAAGCGTGTAGTTGTTAGGGTCCAAGAGTGCGTTGGAATATGTGCCAATGCTGTCAGACCACAGTCGCGCATTAATCGCCACGCTGAGGTTAGATGCAGTGGAGCTGTACAGTGCGGCAGCGGAAGAATCATTGAGAGCTGTAGCAACCCCAGCCAGACGCTGCAAGGAGAGATGTAACAACGCAGATGGAGCCGTGGCGTTGAAGTATCCTTGCGCGAGAAAGTAGAAGTCGCCAGCACCTCCACCTGCCAAACTTGTGACGGGATCAACCTCGGCCAGTACTGCTGCTGCCAGCTTCGTGATGTTAGACCAGTAGTCTCTCAAGATGGCGATATCGCCCGAGTACCAATAGTACTGTCCGACAACGTCAAGCACGAAGATCTGATAGTCGACGAAGGGGTAGAAGGACGGAAAATAACCCTCTTTGTATGCGCTGGAAGCACCCATTGGAGCATCAGTTGCGACCAAGCCCGCTCCAGGACCCGCGTCGAGCTGCCACTCAAAGGTGTTTTGGAAGAAGCCCTGGATGAAGTCCGTTCGATTGGTGCTGGCTAACACCGTCCTCAGGGTGTGGGCAAAGTCGCCGGTCCAAATGAGTCTGTCTCTTTTGGGACCGTCAAGGCATACGGAGTGCTTGTTGGTGTTGATGCCGTATTCATCAAGTGTTGAGTTAGACATAAGGTCGTTTGTGTAGAGTCTTGTCCCGTTTTCAGCTACGACTGTGACATCCCTGAAATACGCAATTTGGTCTTGGAATGGCCCAAAGCCCCAGGTTCCTGCCGTTGGCGAGCTGCTGCCAAAGACAGGGGTTGCCCATGTGATTGCTTCGTCGATAAGAATGAATGCAGCAGGTTGACCGTCGACGGATACGTTAAACCCTGAGGCGCTGATCTCCGTGCTGATTTCATACCACTCATCTTCAGAGATTCTCATCGGGATGGCGAATGTCTGCGTGGGGCCCGTGGTAAGCGTAGTTTGATTGACGATGCTCCATCCATATCCGAAAATCAGTGAATTAGGTGGCATCAAGGTGCGGTTGGTGTTGACGAAAGCTGATTCGTTGTCATAATCACTGGTGAGGACGAAATAAGGTCCATAGCCGCCACCAAGACCGGCAGCAACTCTCCAGCCTGTCCCTCCCCTCAAAATCTTTGTGCTGAAGGACATGGTGTAATTGCTGAAGGACGTTCCGTTCACAGACTGTGCCGGCTGCTGGCCACGTATGAGCATGCCTTGATCCGTCACTTCCCATGTTGAAGGCTGACTTCCGGCCTCAACGCAAGCTGCTTGTACAGTTCTGGCTCCGAGTCCCCAGACACCAGAATAATCTTGCTTCGATGCGCTGAAAGAACCTGGCAAAGAATCCACGGGATAAATCTCGACTGAGGGGCGTAATCCCACAGCCGAAAACTGGATTTCTCCATTTGTAAGTAGGCGTACAGCTTGCCAACGAAGTCCGCCTTGGTTGAAGAAAGAGGAGTAAATGCCGGGTTCCGTGATATTGAATGTTTCCGTTCTGAAGGTGTTTGCAAGTCCATTAGAGAAAGTCCAAGGACCGTCGGCGAAAGGCTGATTCAATCCATCAAATGCTTCCGTGTACTTCACCTCGATCTGAGATGGACCGCTTATCGAGGAAACCTCGAAGAATGGAAAGCCGCCGACCTCGGCAGCGTAATCTAGAGTTACTAGCGGGCTTGTCTCCGTCAAAGAGAAGCTTCGGCCTGAGTAATTGGTAAGACCCCCCAAGACTGGCGAAGTGCCGACATAAAATGCTGTCGGTATGTATGCTGCTGGTTGCGGAGTAGTGGGGACACTCGAGTCTGAAGCTGGCAAAGCTAAGCTATGCGTGTGTCAGCCGTCATGTCCTTCCTTGTTTGTATCCACAGACACTCACCCAATGCTGCATAGCAGAGGAGCTACAACAAGGATAGAGAGCGCCGTGGGGACCATCGTCGTGACGACTCGCAAAGCTTGTAGTTCCTGTCATGTCCCATGAGTGCTTGCCTACTGTATATATATACAAACACCAGTATCATAAGCCACCGGCCTATTCCACGCCGAGACTATGTCTTGATGTGTCACTCTGATTCGGCCCCGCATGGGACGTTGTCTTTTAAGAATGCGGAGACGGCAGACCGCTAATGCATCACTCTGAGATTGACGTTCCTAGAGGTGCATCCATCGGTGGCCTTCGGCAAATCCGACGCGACATTGCCGCTTACAGACAGGAGCTGCGAGAGAAAGCACATGCCGCATTGATGTCCTACTTAGCTGACTGATCCTTGGCGAGGTGTTGCAAACTGAGGATGCTTCAATCTTGGTCCGAGGCTCGATGCGAAAAATGATGCAGCACTCCCGCTTTGTATTTTCTGGAGCACACAGCTCGAGACCATGCATGACTTTTTACAATAAGCGGCTCTCGGGGCAACAGCAGCCGAAATTTGGTGCTCCCGTCCTGTCGGAAGCTCTGATAGAAGTGTACCCACCTCCCGACATGTCCCACCTTGGCGGTTCACAACGATCTTGACTTCCACCCAAGCGTCACGGGTAGCAGACGCTCAGGCACAAGCGAGGCTGTCACGTAGTGAGGACCATGGCAGTCTCATATGGGAAGAACCACCCGTCAAGCTGGCAAAGTTTGAATTCATTAAGCGATTGCTAGCTACGGCATGACAAGACAAGAGATCAAGCACAGCTAGCTACGACAGGACGGAGTTAAAAACAAAAACCAAGCACTGCCAGCCATGACACGACAGAGGTGATTCAAGCTACTCGTCCTGCGCCTCCGGAGCCAAGGTTCCTGGCTCGCCTCCCTCCTCCGCGTCAATCTCAAGTCTCTCCATGATCCACTGCGTCCGCCTGTGGTTGTCCTTGAGAATCATGACTTCGTAGATAAACTCCGCCAGCAGCTGCAGCACTTCGTCACGATCCTGCTCGCTATACTGGTCGAGGAGGGCGGCCTGCTCTGCTTCGCTCTTGGCCCCTTCGAGATCCCTTTTCCGTCTCTGGAGCTCCTCGATCTCAGTGAGCATCCTGATCTCCTCGTCTAGAGCTGCATGCCGCGCAGCGAGCTGGCGAGATTCTTCCTGGCACTTTGCGATGATCGCCCTGTTCCGAACAGACAGCTCATCGTAGTTGCGTTGCAGGGGGCTGTGGGCGAGTGCATGGCTCGCGTACTCCTCCCACTTGTCCTCAGAGATCTCGTACGCGCTCGTGACGCTCTGGCCGGCAGGATGGACAGTGAAGCCGTTGCCACCAGCGGCGTATCCCTGGCCGCATCGAACAAGGATAATCTCGGCGAGGGCGGCCATCTCCGACTCAAAAAGCGGCAGTACGACAAATTGCGCCAGGCCGAATCTGCCTGGCCAGATCACCATGTTGACGGCGCGCGTCAAGTTGAAGAGGTAGTTCGAGCTTCTGTGTCTAAAGTGCTGTTGTAACCGGTCACCCGGATCTCGCGAGTATCCAAACTCCATGAGTGCTGTCTTCATGCGCTCGGACCGGAGGGCCTCGGGCGTGGCCTTATAGCGCTCCACCAGCGCCCCAGTGAACTCTTTAACTCTCTTCGTGCGGACCTCAATGCCTTTGATGGATGATGGGGTGCTAGTGGTGAGGTATTTTCGATGACCTTGCATGGTTTTGTTTAGCGAGACGAGCGGATTCTTACAGTTGTGTCTACTCGATGAACTGTTCTGATATGTCTAGGTCTCTTCGTCTCGCAGTAATCGTCCATCTGCGAGGCGATTATGCTCAGTTCAGTGGCGCTGAAGGAAGCACCCTCTTCATCGACCTGCATCTGCACGTAGATGCCCGGCTGCGAACGACGTGTCCACGTCTCGTTGAGTGCCTCGCAAACTTCGGGATCCTTACTGACGAAGCGGTGCGCGAGGTCGCCTTTTATGATCCCACGAAGGATGCACGGTTCGACCGACATTAACGCTGCCAAGCCGTTGTCATTGATGAACGCATCAGGCACACCATTAAGGGTGTTGGAAGCTGCGCGTTCTTCCGTGATGATCAAGTTGAGGAGTGCTTCAGGCCCCTCTCTCGCAGCACGAAGGTAGGGATTGTCTTGGACTGGCTCCAGGAAGCCCACGTCAGCGCCGGCGGTTGCTGCCAGCATCACTCCAGGCGTACAGCAGGCCGAGAATGTCAATGTAGCCAGCAAGTCAGCACCCGCAACTCAGGCGGCACTCGGCCTGCCTTGGCCTTACCTCAAGCCCATGGTAATGACTCTCGCGGAGGCCCTGCCGCTCAGGAACAGCAACTCGCGCGCAAGTCTTCCGCACAGCAGAACTCCGAGCTTGTGCCAGCCAACGTAGGCAGACCCCCAGTCGCACCGGAGACCCTTGGCTCTCGGAAACAGCTCGCCATCCCAGAAAAGCACCTCGCACCCAGCTCCTCCATGCAGCAGGACACCGAACTCGGGCCCGCCGACGCAGGCAGACCTCCGCCCGCACAGGAGCCCCCGGGCCCCCTTCTTCTTCGCCGTAGGCATGCTATCCACCCCTTACTGCATCGCTGCTGACCTTGCCGCAGGAATCTGGACAATATTGACGGTGTCGGTGTCTTCCGTTACGTCACGCAAGTCACTCGTTTGGTGCCTGCGAAGAAGAAGGACAAGCAACAGAGAGAGGTGTGCGAAGACTGTTGAGGGGTTCTTAGCGGGCCGCAGGAGACTGATATCATTGCTGTAAAAGCCGCCGAGCTACAGCGAACGGTGAGCACGCTGTTGGCACAGAATCAAGCACTTGAGACAGCACTTTGGGATGTACGGCAGCTGCGCAGAATCGAAATGCAACAACGAGACGATGAACGCCATCAACGAGAGGTTGAGTATGACCAGTACAGCGCTGCAATGGGTCGACTTGACACTGTAGCGAGCGAACTACATCTCCAGAGTCGGCCGGTGGACACGAGGAGTATCCACTGGGTCCAAGGTCCTAGCAAAACATCTGAAGCAAATCGGAGCCCGCCGCGCATTCACCTTCCAATGCCTCGCACACCAACGCCTCCCGACGAAGCTCCAAATTTTGACGAGGCTCCGAGTTCCGATGAGCGTGTCTCGGCTTAACGGTCTCTGCATCGGAAGCGGTCCCGGAATCTTCCTCCTACCTGGCATCTCTGGGAAGATGGTCTGATGGTCTCACTTCTGCCTGACAGCAATCTTGGGGGAGCACCCAATCTCCGCCGGTTTGGATGACTTGATTCTTCACCCAAATCTTGATGAAGACGCATGTTCCGTGAACGACATATCGCGGTCGGACTTCCGTTCCCAGAGCAGCGCTACTTGGATTAGATCCACCAGCATCTTGCCGGAATGGAACAGCGGTTTCTCGATCTTGTCCTCGGCGAAAAACGAGTGGTGCTTGCGCCCTTCTCCAGTCGCGAGCCAGTCGGGGAGACGAGGTTCACTACTGCCATTGCGGAAGTTGGCGTAACGACCAATGGCTTGCGCTACGATGCAGTAGTCTGGATGCCTGGAAACCGACCAATTGTTCATAGGAACGCCGAGGGTCCTAGAGATCGGTCGTGGAGGTTGCTCTCGTAGGCCTCAACCGCGCAGACGTCGTGCGTAATGACCTTGAATTCCACCGTCAAGGCTGTCGCTTGCGCGGCGTGGTCCATGAATCTTGCCTGGCTGGAGCCGTGTGCAAAGGCGCCGCCCGTTAGGATGACCCGTATCGGATTTCGGCCCCTTGAGGAACCGTATGTCCAATCGCACCGCGCCGCTGCCGTCTCCAACTGGCCACCAGAAGAGCGCGTGCTCTAGACCGTCGGGGGTCAACGAGTAATTCTTCTCCGTACCGGCTACGGTCTTGTACTTTAATCTTGAATATCGGAAGTATTGACTCTTGCTGGAAGTAGATCGTCATTGGAAGGTAGGCAGTCAGGCTGGTTTTTCCTCGCGTTGCGGTGAGATCGCCGAAGGTCAGCTGGTCTCCCTGGCTTCCGTCCGGAAGCCCTCGGATGGATGTGACCGTCCCGATCAATGGTCGGTTGTGGCTCTTGACGGTCTGCTCAATCTCCAGCCTCGGCTTGACCCTGTTGACGATATAGAATAATGAAAATACTACTGGTGGAGCCTGGGCAAGGCAATCAGCTTGAGCAAGGGAGTGAGCTTGAACGGAAGCAGCGTACGGCGAAGATCTTCGACACTACAGGCAGAGGCGGAACGCCGCAGCGAAGTTGGACAGCTGCAACACGCGGGAGTGAATCTTGGAATTCAATGAAGTCACAGGCAGAGCCCTGCCAGGCAGGAGAAGCTTGAGACGGGCAGGTAGGTCTGAGTTGCGAGGATGGTGTCAAAGGTTAGAACAGTTGAAGTTGGGAGGGTTGCCTAAGCGAAATACAGACGGCTAGAATGAAGAGAATGTGCGGAAGGAGGTCCCGCGGAAAGGAGCCGAAAGTGAAGCTGGAACGTGAGTAATGTTCGCAACTTATGCCGAAGTTCGCCGGCGTTTCCAGCGTGCGGTTTGCAGTTGCGCATCGCGTCATCTTTTACACCCTCACGACCCCCAATAAGCTGTTCCACCGCGTTTCCCAAGCCGACGTTGTGATCATCGACGAGGCCTCGTAGGCACACGTCCCCGCGGCGCTCCAACCTCTCACAGACCAACAGCGCATTCGCCTCGTCGTCCTGGCAGGAAATATGAACCAGCTCGGCCCATGTATTGGCTCCAGTACCAGCGGCGCCAATCCTCTTACTATTTGGCTACTCATCTCTGTCCTTACTTTACGGACCGTCCGGTGGGCCTCCGGCTACGCCTTAACTACAACTTCCGCTCACATAGCGATATTGTCCGCAATCCCAGATCCAAACTCCGTCATGGCCAACCCCGCCGCGGACCCTATCGCCTTTAGTGTCCAAGTCGCGCTGCCCACCATGTCTTGGGGCATCTTCAGACCGCACGTCGATCGGCGGTGTTTCTTCGTCAACGTCAACTCTCGCTGCGAGACAGAAGAAGGCGGAACATCCAAGGCTAATGTTGGGGGCATCAATGCTATCGCCACGTCGGTGCGCGATTTAATTCAACATGTGCCAGCAAGCGAGCTGGCCATTATCAGCATGTACCGGTACGACCGGCGTGTCAGAAAATCCCTTCGGCTTCATACGAGATAAACTCTGTCTCTGCGTGGACTTGTCTCGCCCGATGCGCTACCTGTTCATGTTTGGGAACCTCACGTACTAGAATGCGCATGAGGCGAACTGGAGTAGGCGCAAGAATCTGCGGTACATAAAGCAGCTTATCGAGACGGTCGAAGAACGCAATGGCCCTATCGCGCGAGTTGAATGTCCTGTTAGCAGGATCGTTGATGAACCTGCAGCTAACCTTTGAGTGCCTTGCCTCGCGTTGGTGGTGGATCGGCGTAATCCTGGCTCCTCGGAGTGCAGGTTGTGAGAAATCTTTCTCCTCCGTGTTGAACTGATCCCGGGCTGTGGGATGGAGGACTTCGGCGAGAGAGCCACTAGGGCTTGAGCACCGAACGCGAATACGGCGTTGCTTGACCGTTGGAAACTTTGGCTGAAAATGCTGATCAGGCTACAGCCCAGCGCCGACGGCACCGACAGCTTCAGTCACGGCGGCAAAACGAACACCATCGGCAGAATGGGTATCACAGGCGCATTCACGGGCAATGCGGGCAGTCATTGGCAAACACTGAGTTGTTCAAGACGAGGCACTGCCAAAATCTGCGGGATTTGCGGCAGCTCACGATGCGGAGCTTAGTGGGTCTAGTAGGCCTTCGGCGGTGGAGTCAGTAGCCGGATATGTAAGTGCTTGACCTCACCAGCTGGACGTGTTGCGGCGAAGATGTATGAAGACGCGAGAATGATACATGATCAAAGGCAGTCACGTGCGGTTGCTGGGTGAAGGCAAGTGAAGTGAAGCATAAGCAAACGTGAACCTCTCCCCTCGCAGCGCCCCCCTCCAACCATTCTATCCACCCCAGACACACCTCCGGCCGACCTAGCTCAATATTTTTAGGTCTTCCACGGCTCTCAGTTACCCTCACTCTACCTCACCAGCGGCGCCCTAAGCGTTCGCTGTCCTTTTACAAACCACCCAGAGATCAGCAAGGATGGCCCCGCAGGCTAGTAACCTAACGCTGTCGACTCTGCATCAATTGCGTGAGGAGATCCTGCGGCTCCGGGCTGAGAACCAAATCACTCTGAATTACATACGACTAGCTTTGAGCATCACCCTCGGCAACGAATCCGTTGCAGGTCTGGACGAAGAGGCTGTTGAGGTTGCGGGAACTGCAATGCAGACTACCTGTAACGGATCACAGCCTTGAGTGAAGAGCTTCACCTGCTGACCTGGCCTAGTACTTGATTTGTTCGGGAGGCGTAACGATCAGCTGCCACATACATGGGCGGAGAAGAACCTCCCAGATGCGGGGATTGCACATAGAGCAACTTGGACGGCGAACCTCAGATTCGTTGACGAGCTCATCGCGAAGGCTCTCAGAGAAGTGACACCCACCCCAACGCCCGATGCCGCCGCTTCGCCAAAAAACCCGCCAATCCGCGCGATTTTCAGGAGAACCTCAAGGACGCCGTCATGCGCTGGGAGAAGTTTGGCACCGATCAATACATGAAAGCCGTCGAGATAGCAGAGCACTGGACGTGGCTAGAACCTGCAATCCACAAGATCATGGCCGGAGGCAAATCAGTAGATGCGGCAAGGACGGAGGTAGTGAGCCTCTACCTCGTTAAGCTGCACGGAAGTTGGTCGGTCAATCCCAACGAGGCCACAAGGTGCACCAGCCTTCTCAAGCGGCTGGATCAGATGCGGAGAGGAGGGTTTGACCTGATCCTAGGTGCTCGTACAGCGGGACTGGATGCGATTTTAAGATCCCTGCCGAGGACATTCAGCCCAGTGCAGTTGCGCAAGTGGTATGGGCTCTACGAACCGGCGATCCAGGACATCAAACGCAGGACCACCGAGCCACACGACTTCACCACTTGGTCGACACGGTGGAAGTTTATCAGGGAGGCGGAGGCATTCGCCGCGAAACCCGGCCAGCCAGAGTTTGACCTACTCAAGACAGCAAGCAGCAGCGGCCACCTCATCGCGCTCGCGGAATATAGGTACGGTGGATTCGACAAGCTCAACAAGTGGCGCTTCATCCACCATAGGGTGGAGGGACCTGCCGGGCGTCATTAAGGGCAGCTTTCTCGGCGTTGTGCCCGGATACGTCAGGTATGGAACTGTGACGAAGGGTGAAGGCGAGGCGATCCCAGAACCCTCGGGTCTTCGGCTGGAGAGGCTGACCGGTGGGCTTGGATACCTACGTCGGGCTGATCACGAGGATTCTGAAGTGGCGAACGTCGTGCTAGGTTGGCAGGCTTGGGTGGATCCGATGTTTCCCAGTACCGTGTCGTTGCGTGCTCTGGCGTTTGCTTCTCAACGCGTGCTGGCTTTCGAGGAGCTCTTCTACTGAATGTCTTAGAAGTTGTGGTGGTCTCTCTACGGTGGCGGGCTGCGGTGGTGGTTATAGCGATGATGCTGGCTCTGCGAAAACATGCTGCTTAGGTTCATAGAAAAATTCAACCTGTGCTCACCTTATGAAAATATGGATCACTTCATGCAAATATTGATCAGCTCGTCTCAAGGGTAATGCAAACATCGAGGTCCATCGCAGGATGCCTGAGTCGTCCGCGGCCTGCTAGGTTTTGGTGGCGCCCAGCCAATTTAGCGGAGAACCCGGATTCATGTGATCTTCTGCGCCTTTTGCCTCTTCTCCCTTCAGTCACAGACTCGTCACTGTATTGCATAATGTAGACGCCCTCATGACAGCAAGATAGGTATCTAGCAACAGAGGCTGATTAAATGACAGACCGCCGCGAAGCACACCCGTTCGAAATGCAACGCAAAATGCAGTCCGCACCAGATTTCACAGGGAAACGTATGATTGAGATTGTTACTTACAGTAAGAACAAGAAGGGTGAGACCGTCCAACCACCCCGGCCTAGCTCGCCGAAGATAGGCGTAGGGGAGTTCGAGGAAGGAAGATCTAGCGACGACGAGCCGGCGTACGACGACGAGTCGGCGCACAAATACGACGAAGAGATGGAAGTCTTTTGCAGCGACGACGATCACCCACAGGCAACCCAAGAGCCCTTCGATCCGGATGAGGTGATCCCGTTAACGCAACAAGAGGTCAGTTTCTAATAACACAACTCATTGCAACACTCCAAGTTTTCTAGAGACTGATGGGGCGCATAGAACTCACCGAGCTTACCGGATCTAGCGTATCTCGAGGCATTCAAGAAGGGCTACTTAGCTCTCAGCAGCCTGATCTGGAAGGAGGAGGAGGCCGCTAAGCGGCCTGCCCTTAGAGAAGTTTCCTCTGGAGAGTGGGATGATGTCGTCCTAGAGATTCTCGCGACGATGCCACTTAGCTTAGTCCGGGAAATTATCTCTAGTAATATCGCCCGTGAGTATTACAAGGGGAAGAGGAACGTCTACGAGGTATTGAGGCACAACAAGAAATATCTAGAGTCTTATCTATAAACAACCTTATATAATTCTTATACTTAATAGGTATAAATAATAGGGTAGTAGTAGATATAATCTCTTATTGCTTACTCTATAGAATCTCTACTTACTTAGAATTCCGCTAAACTTTCTACTTAAGTTCTTTAGTAGAGATTGTATATATCTTAATACTATCTTTTAGTATCTCTTAGCTTACTTAGACTAATTTTCCCTTAGAAAAGTCTAATATCTTATATATCTAGTTAATCTTAGAATTTATATCTTTAAGCTATAGTAACTCTAGTATTAGGAAAAAGTTTAGACGCTTATAAAATTAGCTTTAGTCTAAGATATCTAAGGCACTTAGAGCGCTCCGATCGATCGGGGTAGGTATAAATTACTTAGTAAGCAAAAAAAACATAAATTACGTAAAAAAGTCCTGGAGTTCCCTTTCTCGCTTAACTTTTACCCCCCTGCAAAAATAGGTAATATATCTACGTTTTTAAAAGTTAAGTAGATAATAATTATTTTAATTAAAAGTATATTCCCTAAGCTAACTCTATTATATACTCGCTCTATTCTACTAGTTAAATTAGACTTAAAGCTTTTTCTAATTTTTTTAGTACTAACTAAGTAAGATTTAGTATACTAAGCTTATTCTATAAGTACTCTAAGCGCTCTAAGTATTTTAATACGCTTGCAAGTAACTTATAATTAGATAGAGTTACTTAAAGATTCTAAGTACTCTAAGCATACTCTAAGTGCTTTAAGTAGCTCTAAGTCTCTAAAAATTTTTTCTAATAAGAGCTATATTATATATTCCTATTACTATAATATTAAGCTATATATTTTATATATAAGGTCTAATCTTTAACTTAACTATTTTAGTCTTCTAGTCTATTAATCTCTAATTATAGTCTAAAGATTAGGTATTTACTATAGTAGTATAGAAGGTTTATTATATAGAAGTTAGTATAAATAAAGCGTATAGAGCCTTAAGGTTCTTTAGATAATTAACTACTAGTTATATTATAGTGTAAAGTAGTACTATACTTATTCTCTAAACCACGTAGTCTTATTAATCTATTACTATAATACTATTACTATCTTAATAGTTCTATCTTAATTCCTTATCTCTATAGATATATATAATCTACTTATCTAAGTCTATACTTAAACCACTTACCTAAAATACTACTACTATAATTTAGTAGATATTACACTTTATCTATATTTCTATTTATATATAGTATATAAACTCTAGTGCTATAAAGTTTACTATAGCTTCTAAATCTATAGTATCTTAGTCTATTCTAAGAGTTTTAGTATATTTTATTACTATAAGAATATGTTTTTAATAGTCTAATTCTATCACGGTTTAGACTTAGTATTTTTCGGTATTTGAATCTTTAGTTATTCTAGGGTCACGTGACTTAGTTACGTGATCTACTTATAGAGTTTTCTACCCATTTTCCTTTCTATACCTTCCAACCTCGTGTAACATCTTATATATTACTCTAGCAAATTAAGTTCTAGTATTAAGCCTTCCCATATCGTAATAATACGTTACACCTACTAATTACCTTTTATTATAGCTTAGCTACAGTCTACTATATTTCTTTCTAGCTCCACTAAAGCCTCTATATCCGCAGGTAATACCCCTAACACTCTATAAGCTCCTATAGCTATCGACTCACCTATAACTCTTACAGCTAAAGTTCTAAAAGACTCTAGCGCTTAGTACTAGTTCTTTATTAACCTCTTAAACTAGTTTAATAAAATGCGCACCTACTCCTATATATTTAAAGAATAGCTTAAGGATATTATATAGTAGCGCGATACGTTAGCTATATAATATAATACAGCTATTATCGTATATACTAAAGCGACTAAGCGAATCGCTTAACTTACCGCCTAAGCCGCCTAACTAAATACTACCTTAACTAAGAAGTTAGAGAAGCTTTCTAATCTAGAACTATTTTCTAGTTCTAACTATACTACTCTCCGCTCTTTCGTCGTAAATATCCATATAAAGCTTAGTATTAACGCTAACCAGTACCCTACCTAAACTACCTAAACCTTATATCTATATAGTTACCTAAAAGGCACTATATAGGCACTCTTTCTCCTATACGTTCTTACTAATAGTACACTTAAGTTCGGCTCTATTAAGAAGATAATTAAGCACCTTAAACTATTTTTTAGCAACCTAAACCCTAAAGTAACCGCGTAAGCTAAAATTACTAAGCTCTACTAAAAGAACCGCGATTTCATCTTATTTACCACTAAGTTCTAGCGCTACATTTATAATACTAGCTATAATAATAATAGAAAGAAGTCTACACTCTTTATAGGCCTATTAAATAAGATTTAGGCCGCTCTAGTAAGCTAAGATACTAAGAATATAAGCTACCTTAAGTACTTCTACTTATACTAACGCATTAATAGGCGCCTACATGCTACTACTAGTGCGGCTATAGGCTTATTATCCTTCTAGAAGCGCGCCTTTCTAACTATACTTCTAGCTGCTAGTATCCTCTATATAATAACTACTATAACTACTTTCTCGCTTACCTTCTATTCTAGATCTACTATACTATAGTCTACACTCGCAACCTATAGCTATAGTGACCCTATAGACCTTATAGTCGGACGCGTCTAACACGGTCTAATTATACCTAAAATAAAGTAGTAGCACTTTAATAATAATAAGTGCCTATACTATAGTAGTAATTATATAGTTCGTAACTACCTAAAGAAGCCTCACGCTACTATACACGCGATTAATTTCGGTTCTACTCCTAATACTCTAGACCCTACTACCCCGTCTAAAGACTTAGCTCGCTTAGAAAATAAGTAGTTCCTACTAGAAGTCACTTATAGGAACCTACACCTAAGATAGTTAAGATTTTCTTTTCCTTAATCTCCTAGTCTCCTTAGTAAGACTTTAATAAAGATAAACACCTTATAGTTAACTATACTTTAGTTACTAGTTCACGTAAATATAAGTCTACTACTCTTATTAACACTAAAGCTTCCGGTACTACTTTTATTAACTAATCTTACGCGTAAAACCTCAGCCTTTATCTTCTTCCTCTTAGTTCCCCTATTACCCTTAAAGTTATCGATAGGCGCCCTACCGCTACTAGTAATATTACCTACTTTATCTAAGTTAAGTTTCTAATAGAGTTATTTAAATAGACCCTTACCCTCTTTATTACTCGCCTTAGTTATTTCCTAGTTATTCTTAAATATCTATAGATACTAGCTCACTACACTACACTTAATACTAACTAACGACTATTAGTACTCCCTAGTAGGAACGCCGTCCCTTACACCTATCTAGACTCTATTATAGTACGCTAAAAGAGGGCTGAAGAGCCGCTTAATCTTAACCTACCTCTATAAAAGACCCTAGATATTTACGTAATTAGCGCGGCACCCTTTACCTGCCTAGTAAATACTAAGAAGATAGGCTATTAGCTCTTTATAATTACAATAAGAGATATTAAAAAGGCCCTCGCCTCTAAGAAAATCATAGATCTAGCTACTATCTTACCCCCTAAGTATCACGAATTCCTAGATATTTTTTTAAAATACCTTTTAAACTAGTTGCCTCCGCATCGCACCTATAACCACTATATCCGGCTATAGCTAGAAATAGAACCGCCCGCTAGGCCCCTATATAGAATGTCTTAGGAGGAGCTACTTATCCTAAAAAAGTACCTAGAAGACTACTTCGTGAAGGGCTTTATCCGCTCTAGTAATAGCCTTACGGCCTCCCCTATTCTTTTTATTTAGAAGCCTAGAGGGGGCCTCTATTTCTATATAGACTACTAGGGCCTTAATATGATTATAGTTAAGAATAAGTACTCTATCCCGCTTATCTAGAAAACTCTCGCGCGCTTCTTATTAGCTAAGTACTTTACTAAGCTCGATATTATCGCGGCTTTTAATAAGCTTCATATTATAAAGGGTGATAAATAGCTTATAGCCTTCTAAACCCGCTATAGTCTCTATAAATACTTAGTAATACCCTTTAGATTATCTAACACGCCCTCGTCCTTCTAGTACTATATTAATAATATTCTATAGAAATACTTAGACTAGTTCTATACCACTTATATTAATAATATTCTAATCTATAGTAATACCTTAAGCGAATACTAGAACCACATCTATAAGGTACTCACCTACCTATAAGAGGCAGGCCTATAGGTTAATATTAAGAAGTGCGAATTCTATATCTAGGAAGTTAAGTATCTCGGTTTAATTACCTTAATAGAAGGTATTAAAATAGACCTAGTAAAAGTCTCTACTATATAAGAATAGGCCTAGCTAAAGAATCTAAAGGATATTTAAGGCTTTCTTAGCTTCGCGAACTTCTACTATCGTTTTATCTAGAACTTCTCTAAGATTATCTTACCACTCACTAGTCTTACTTATAAGGGCTAGGCCTTTCTATAGTCTCTAGACTGCGAGCTCGCCTTTTAGGAATTAAAGCACGCCTTTATTACTACGCTAATTCTTTAGCACTTCGACTAGACTAAGTCTATAACTATAGAAACGGACGCTTCTAACTATATTATAGCTAGTATACTCTACTAACTAAATACAGAAGGCCGACTCCGTCCTATAGCTTACTTCTCGACGAAAATATCTATTACTAAGTGTAACTATAAGATCTATAATAAAGAACTACTAGCTATTATTAAAGCCTTTAAGGCCTAGCGTCTAGAACTAGAAGAAATAGGAGAGCTAGTTAATATTATTACGAACTATAAGAACCTTAAGTACTTTATATTTATAAAGTCCCTTAACTATCGCTAAGTCCGCTAGAGCGAGTTTTTATTCTATTTTAACTTTAAGATTACCTACTAAAAGGGTAGCCTAAATATAATAGCTAATGCCTTAACTCGTTAGTCTAGAGACCTTCCTACTAAAGAGGGGAGTAATCCTTAAAAAAACTAGTTCTAAATAGTACTAAAGTAGTATAACCTCGATTCTTAGCTAGAGCGCGCTCCTTTAGCTACTAGTAAGATTCATTTAGCTTCTACTAGATTCTCTACCACCCCCACTAACCCTCCGCAAGACACTAAAGACGAAAAAGACCTACTAGTAATCTAGCTAGACACGATTAAAGTACTAGACGAAATTCCTAAAACTATACTAGACTAGAATATAAACTCCGCCTATATGTTAAATAAGTAAGCTTAGAAGATCTTAACCTGCCTATAATAAGGTACCTACACGCTTAAAGGCTTTCTACTATCTAAAGTCCGCGAAGAGAATAACTGAATTATCTACTAAAATTACTAATTCCTACTAGACTCTTACTAGGTTAGAATACGCGCCCTATATAAGGCGCACTTACCCCTAGCTATTAGATATTCCGAGAGGGTAAAGACGTTTAATATCCTAGCACGCTTCTACTAGTAGCCTAGAATAATGTAAGACGTCTACTAGTTTATCTATAACTATTCTACCTACACCCGCATAAAGGTCTTATAGGACCGCTACTATAGCTTATTAAAACCCCTACTTATACTAGATCGGCGCTAGTCTAATATCTCCCTCGACTTTATTATTTAACTCCCTAAGAGTAAGAACTACTAAGGAAACTTATATAAGAATATCCTTATAGTCGTGGATTGCCTCTCTAAGATATAGCACTTTATTTCTTATAGTAAGATAGATGCGCTAACTACCGCGGCGCTCTTCTTTTATTATATTTAGAAGCACTATAGTATTCCTAGGTCTATCGTCTTTAATTAAGGGAGCTAATTTATTAGCTAGTTCTAGAAGGAACTATACCTCTAGCTAGGCATCTAGCACGACCTCTCTATAGCCTATTACCCTAAAACCAATAGCTAGACTAAGAACGCTAATATAGTTCTAAAGTAATACCTACGTGTGTATGTAGCGTTCCTATAGAACGACTAGGTGGACTAGCTACTATATATAGAGTTCGCGCATAATAACCACGTGTTAGAGACTATATAAATCTCACCGTTTCTCGCTAACTATAGTTAATACCCTCTCCTTAGCTTAAAGCCTTAAGTTCCTACTATAGATCTACCCGCTAAATTAGACCGTAAAGGAGCAGCCCGATTCTATAATAAGATAATAGTTATTACTTAGAAGCTAAAGGAATAGATGCGTCTAGCTTAAGCCACCTATAAGGACGCTACTAACCGCCGCTAAGCCCCTATACTAAAGTACTAAGTCGGTAATAGTATGTACCTAGATATATATAACTTATAGTTAGGCCGCCTACTCTAAAAGCTCTTAAATAAGTACTATAGCCCCTTCCGTATTACCGAGGTTATTAGTATATATAGCTACTACCTAGAGATTCCTTAGCTCTAGCGCTACTACCCTATATTCTATATCTCGCTAATTCGGCCCTCTACTAACAACCTACTACCAGGATAAGCTCTACTATCTCTCTTCCTCTAATTAGAAACCTCCGTAGAAGACGTATAGGGCGTAAACTAGGTTCTTAACTCCTAAAACTATTACAGTCATTTTAAGGTACTTATAGACTAGATCGGCTCGGACGAAGACTTCTAAAACTCCTTATACTATATACTAATAGCCCCTATAGAAGTTAATTATTTTTTCGCACACTACCTAAATAAGCCCGGCCGAGCTTATTAGTTGGAACTTAAGGCCTATAGCCGCTCCTTATCCCCTATAGATTTAAGTGAGGATACTAATACTAAATTAGAATACAATCCCGACTTAGACGCCTTATAGGAACTCGGCCCTTAAGGGGGAGCTACTATTATAGTTTAGACTTAGTGTTCTTTGGCGTTTAGATCTTTAGTTATTCTAGAGTCATGTAACTTAGTCACGTGATCCACTTATAGAGTTTTTTGCCTATTTTCCTTCCTGCACCTTCTAATCTCGTGTAATATCTTGTATATTACTCCAGCAAATTAAGTTCTAGTATTAAGCCTTCCTGCATCGTGACAAATTCTACTATCTAGATGCTTTATATCTATTTAAAAGTCTTTTAGTAGATACTTCTATAAACTTTCTAGCTAGAAGACTTTCTAGTTTTTTAAACTAGAGACTATAACACTTTTATTTCTAGTATAGATTTCTGTTCTATTATATTTAAATTTACTAGAGTTAACTTAGTATTCTAGATTTACTTCTAGATTTCTAGTAGTAAATTCTTATCATAATACTATAACTTTCTATTAAAGTTTGTAAATAACATACTCTTCTTTAGAAGTTATATATTCTCTATCTCTTATAAATCTTATGTTTATTAGTAGATATTCTTATATTATATTATAGTATCTATATTCTAGTTAGAGTATATTATTTAGTATCTAGTTAAACTATCTAATATATTTAGTAGCTATAACTAGTTATTCTAAAATAAGGTTATAGACTTTTTTATATAGTTTACTAAAGCTTATAGCGGACTTCTACGATACTTTATATATAGTAAGTTAGATTTTAACTTTTTTAAGATTCTTCTTAAACTCTAGTTATTCTTATTAGGTTTCTATAAATTTATTATTATAGTTACATTTAGTATTATCTAATACATATAATTTAATAAGAAAAAATTAATTAATTAAGGGTAAAGCCTAACTAGCTATATACTTATATACTTAATAGTTAGCTTTTACTAGTAACTATTAATACAATCTATAATAGTATTAACTATAATATTTATATATATTTTAATATACCTAATTCTATACTTTAGATGGATATCTACTAGTAATAGAATCTTTTAGTAGTATCTTTATCTCTAGTTCTTTATTTAGAGCTAGCTTAGAGACTCTAAAGTCCTTAGACTCTATTTTTAAATAATTTTTAAATAGAAATTCCTATATTTAGGCTCTAGTTCTTAGTTCTTAATAGGTGTTATTAGAATCTTAGCTGTTATTTTTTAGAATTCTACTAGTTACTATTTTTATCTACTAGCTATACTTAGTCCTATTTCCTAAATAGTAAGATATTAAACTATCTTTTAAGAGTATAGTTTATATTTTATAACCTATAATACTTTATTTATAGAGGTAATAGATACTATCTAGAACCTTATTTATTACTTAGATATATTTAACACTTATTATTATAGTATATAGTTTAAATAATTTTAGTTTATTAGATTTATTATCGCGAATTAGATTATTTTCTATATAAAAATTATAATCCACGCTAAGAAAAACATAGTACTTTTTTATTTTTTATTATTAAATAGAATATAATTATATAATATATAATTTCACGTATAGTTTTTACTTTTAGAAATCTATCTAATTATATTCTAAACTTATTTAGTACTACTCTAGCTACTAAACCTAAATCTAAATATTTCTATATAATTTATAAGCTTCTTCTAGGCTAGATATAAATATTTTAGTCTTAATACTCTAAATAGTCACTTTTATAGAACTACTTACTACTATAGATTAGAGGTTTATAATTAATAGTAAGTCTAGTTCTCTAGTAGACTATGGAATACCCTTACTTATAGCTTAAAATAGAGTGGAAATCCTATAAACCTTAACGATACCGTAGAAATCTATAATTAATAGATAATAGCACTAATCTACTTAGATTAAGAGTAATAGACACGAGATCTAGAAGAGCCTTCTATCTAGCTATACTATAGGCGTGTTACCTAAAATCAGAACACAAGCACTACTAGTAGTTATTTAACTCGTGTCAAATGCTAGACTACTAAAGTTGTAGTATTATAATCAAGTGCCTCGCTATATACATTTCCATGTGCTAGAAACATCCAACCGACGCCCCTTTCTCGAACTTCCGAACACTTTACGCGTCTAGGACATTAACATGGAATTGTCCTCCCTGGTTACCTTGTGGGTCAAATTCACAGACGAGGAAATAGTCACCATTCGGAGTTGCACACTGGTTTGGAGACCAGGAGCAGCCGATCTTCTTGGTACTCTTCCAAACCAACTGTGTGAAATGATATGCCGGGGCGGGGTTGTTGACGTCGTAGTACCTCACTTCCCCGTACCACCAGTCAATTCCCTTTTTAAGCCGAAGGTTGAAATCGGGAACCCTGGTCTTGGGGATGAGGTAGAAGCTGTAGATGTTCTCGCCATATCGATTGTTTGGCTATAGATGTTATTAGTGGAAAGTCCGTGGCGTTGCAGGGAAAAGGCCAATTTACAGTATGTACTGCGCTACATCTGGTAGCGGCTGTCTTCGCCGTTTGGGCGAGGCCCGCATCCCAGGTTACTGGGGGCGCAGAGTGCAAGTTGCGGTAGACATTGACTCGCGACAAGATTGTGCTAATGAAGGTCGGATCCGTCGGGGCCGGCGGGACGGCTCTCTTCTCAAGAGAGCGTGTGTCTTCATTGATGATAGGGTTTGCCAAGGTGGCAGATACCCAGAGAAGGAAGAAAAGGACGTGACAAGCAGCGCTGGAGCCACGCATGATAAACGTAGTGCTTTGGTGAAATTGTTGCAAGAAATGTAGATTCGAGAGAGGAAAACCTTGACGTGGAAGATAGGAAGAGAGAAAGGAGGAAAGTAACCAAATATAAGTATGCTGTTGAATCATGATTTGAAGGTAGTCCGTCAAACATTTCTTCCTGAACAGCCATCCAGCCTGGTCTGCCTTACAAGAATAAACTCGCCAATGAGGGTAGCTGAGCCTCGGGATGCCCTTGATACGAAAGGTTTCTCGTATTTGTGTTTATTGAACGATCAAGCAAACGAGGGAGAATCTCAGGACGAAATGAGCTGAAATGCTAGGCTGAATGTTTAGCGCCGTTCCATCTTGCGGTCGCCGTGCCCGCCGAAACCCGAGCTCGTTCAGCGTCAGCTTGGACAGCATCCCGAGACTTCCTCCTGCCAGATCCTCCTTGATTTGCCGATCTTTCCGAAAGCCTCACGACGCTCTCTCGATTGTGAGCAGTTTTGTTCTGATGATCGCTCCGACCGGTGAGTGCGGCGGAGCGCAAGGGTGAATTTATGGATCAGCAGAGCGAGCGTTGGTTGGTTGGCAGGGAAGGATCTGAAAGCACAAATCCTTGCAGGGCGGCTGGGCACCTGCTGCATGCGGCGACCGTGTCATCTTCAGCGGCCTGCCACAGAATGCGCTATGGCTTCGGTTGTGCCCTTTACATGCCGACAGTCTTACTGCTACCATCAATAATATAAAGTTTCTACTTACTTCTAAATTTATTATAACTATAAAAATCTTATTATTTATAGCTATAATAGTTATAAAAGCTAGTGTATTTATTTTTTAGACTTTAATTCAATTTAGCTTCTAGTAATTATCTATCTTATATAAGTTATTTAGTTTTTTAGCTATATTTTATGCATTCTTTTCTAATACTATAAAGCTTTCTATTATTATTGTCTCTCTTTAGTAATCTTAGATAAACTTTAGATAATTTAGCTATTCTTTGAAATTCCTTTATCTCTCAATATTATTATTCGATAATTATAATATACTTTCTTATTTCTACGCTTACTAAGTGTTCTTTAGAAACTATATACTCTTAAGAGATAAATATACTCTTAAGTAGTAGTTACTTCTAAATAATAGGTTTAAAATCTTAATCTACTAGTATTTATTAGTATTTTTATAATATATACTAAACTTTTATAAGTGTTAATTTAAACTTCTAGAAATAGAATTATTATTTTCTAGCTATTATAAGAAAAAGCTAGTTTTGTATAGTCAATGATTAAGGGTATAGCAAGACGTGCGCTGGTTGTTTTTGCACACTTCAAAGTTTGGACTGCCGCCTCGATCAAGGCAAACAGACTGGGCAAGGCTGGGCAAGGGGGCTTGGAGTAGAGCTGGCGGCGGATACCGTTGCAAAAAAGGCCGAAGACGCGAAGAAGGCAGAGCTGGAAGTGGACCGCAAGAGGGAGGTCACTGTCAGGTTCTGACCGAGTGGGAAGGTCCGAATGGTTGTGAGTGCACAACAGGGGAGACGAGAACTAGACTACAGGAAGGAGGCCACCGTCGAGGCTCACTCCAAACAGGCCGAGGAACGGACAGAGGAGCAGCGGCAGCTGGAATAAGCAAAGCGGAGGGCGGCCGAGGGAGAGAAGAGAATTATGTAGCAGGGAAGCTGAAGAGGCGGCATGGATGTGCAGGTGTGCAGGTGTTGAGGTTGAAAGAGCCACGGCGGAGGCGAGGAGTCACATCAAATGCTCTGCCCGGGGGGGGGGGGCTCTCAGGAATTTGCCCAGGTGCCGAGTGTCATGGCATGAAGCTTCCCTACCCTTCGAGATCCCCAAACGTAGCCTTATTGTCTTTAACCGCGCCGTAGATATTGAAAGTCACCACGTCTTTCCTGTTTGGGGTAACGCTCTCCGGCACACCCTCAACTTCAACTACATACCCCAATCTCCCAATCCGTTTCCGACTATGCGCCTCCTCCACCGCCCTCGACGGCTGAAACTCTTTCCGCCATTTCAGCGTCGCGACCAACTGCTCTCTTGCTCTTATGAGATCATTGGCGTTCGCGCGGAGGAATATCTGCATGAGTTTGGTGTAAAAAGGCGTGTCTGGCCGCAACTGTATCCCATAAACTTCATCATAGCCCGCCTCTTGAAGAATCTCGGGCAGCTGCGCTGCGAACTTGGAAAAGGGGCGGTCGGGAGGAAGGGCGGGCCATGTGGGCTCGGTGGTTGAGGGTTAGGATGAGCTGGGCGCTGCGGCTACGGCGGGGTGGTTAGCATTGGATGTGGGAGGTTCTGGTGCAGTGGAAGCGGCGGATGTGGGTGTTCGCGAGGCGAGTGTTGCTGGCTGGGCGTCCATCTTGCCCGGTGGAGCGGTCGTGCTGATGGTGGGCTGTGTGGTCTGAGATTGCGCTGATGATCTGATAACGACCGATGGAGGTGGTTGCTCGCGCTTTCACGTGCAAAGTTCCCTTAAACGTACGTTACTGCCCCTGATCATGCACGGCGGCCTAGCTCCGTAATCATCACCCTAAATCCTAGAGAATCTCACGAGTAGGCTAGCAGGACCAACAAGATTTCCAATTGGCTGTACAGGTTTGCTTGTTGCTGTTTAGGGTTCAGCACAATCAAGGTGCTGAGTGGCGCTCAGATGAAACTTACGGCCCCCACAGCACTTTCAGCTGTTGATCTCCAAACATTGCTGTCTGCACGATGCTTACGGAACTAATAAATTGTGCACCTTACATCCCACTGGTGCTCGCTTTTGCCCCATCCACCTTTTCGGCCGTGTTCTTTATCAAATTCGCCGTCTGCTTCCGAGAGGATTTCCCCCAAAGTGCATGTTCCTCCGGCATACAGTTACCGAGACATACGCGTCGTACTTCTTTGGTACAGAGACGACTGTTCAGTGCTTCAAGGCATTTGATCTTTTGCCATGTTTGATCCTACTTCCACTCAGTTTGCCGAAGTCTGGCAAAACGCCGCAAAACGTTACGAAGAAATCTCCGGGAAGAAGCTCGCGGATCTGGATCTCAAAAGGCTCCAAAATGTGGACGACCTCGAACGAAGCATTGACGAAAAAAGCAAAAAGATCGTCGAATTCCGCGAAAAACGAGGCACGCTTTTCAAAGTCATGCGGAATGCGATGTTGCCGGTCCAGTTGGTAGGGAATCTCGCCGCCGGAGGTGCGAGCATGGCGTTCCCTCCCAGCTCCTTGGTGTTTGGCGCGGTGTCCTATCTGATTGGCGCAGCGAAGGACGTCTCGAGCGCCTATGATGCGATTCAGGACCTGATGGGCACGCTGCAGGATTTCACCGTGCGGCTCAAGGTCTACAATCGCGAGAAGATATCTCCGGAGCTGCAGACGAAGCTCACCGAGGTGCTTGTCGCGCTGCTGGAGATTTTTGCGCTTTCCAGAAGAGCCATTAAGCGCGGCAGGCTGTTGAGCTTTGGTCGAAGCATCGTTCTTGGGCAGGATAAGGATATTGCGGGAGCAGTAGGCAAGCTTGCGAAACTTACCCGGAGTGAGGACCAGCTTGTGGGCGCGGAGACTCACACCGAGGTAAGAAAACAAGGTCGAACCCTGGATGGTGTCGCCACGACGGTGTCATCAACCCATGTAGCGGTGGAGCAGCAGGGAGCGGTAATCACCCAGATGAAGGTTGAGCAACGGGAGATGCACGAGGAAGTCATTGAGGTGGTACGGAGAGGACTTGGTGACATGGCTCTGGCCACCAACAAGTCACACGCCCTTCTTCAAGACGAAAAGGAGAAGACACGTCACGACAAGATCAAGCAGGTTCTCCAACCCTCTGTCAACCCGCAGGATGTCTTCGACAAGATCATGAAGGAACGTGTCCCGGGAACTGGAGACTGGATCCGTGGAGAGGACCTCTTCAAGTCTTGGGTGGACACAAATATTCCTGTGCTGTGGGTGTCCGGTATTCCAGGCGCCGGCAAATCTTTCTTGTCGTCGAATATGATATCCTTCCTCAAAGAACAATATCCACAAGGAGTCCAAGACGCAGCTCATATCTCCGTTGGCTACTTCTTCTTCAAAGACAACAACCCGGAGATGCGGTCTTTTCACCAAGCATTGCGAGACCTAGCCTTTCAGATCTCCCAGAATGACCCCGTCTACGCAAAACACTTAGACACTGCGTTCGATTCGCCAGACGACATCAAGACCATCGAGAGTGCGTGGCGGAAGCTGTTTCTGGAATTCTTCATTGAGAACGATAACGTCGATAGTACTGTGTACCTTGTCATTGACGGAGTCGACGAAGCCTACGACGCGGAGCGCGAAGCGTTCCTAACCTTGCTACAAGATCTGAAGCCCGATAATCCCGGCGCTTCCCGCATACAGCTAGTGATGGTTGGACGACCGCATCTGTCTGATGCCATCTCAGATGCGCTGGGGTCGGAAGTACCGACCATTCATGTTACCGGAGCAAAGAACTCGGAGGACATCGTCAGCTACATCCAAAGTAGCATACGAAAATCCAGGGTGCTGAAGAGAGTATCGAAGAGACTTCAGGAAGACGTAGTTGAGACGCTCTCGTCTCAAGCTAATGGGATGTTCCTGTGGGTTGACTTGATGGTCCGCGAGCTCAACACCAAAAGTCGTGAACCGGCGATTCGAGACGCTCTCAAGAGAGCTCCCAGGGGGCTTGCGGAGATGCTGCGACATGTCCTTGAAGGGTTTTCAGAGTCGTTGCCCGAAGAAGATGCGGAAGACCTCAACGAGCTGCTGACTTGGGTCACTTGTGCCAAACGGCCGCTCAGGCTCGGCGAACTGGATACGATCCTCAGGTGCAAGTCCCCAACCGGGGACGGCGTAATCTACCTGGAAGGGAAATTGCGGAAGCAGTACGCTTCATTTTTCGTCTTGAATCGGGAAGATGGGCTCTCCACTGCGGATTTGCAGAACTTGCAGCAAGGTGCACCGGGGTACGGTGACGATGCACTGGATGGGGATGAGGAAGAACCTGGCTTCGAAGACCTGGAGTCTGACTTTGACTCAAACTTATATACCACGGAGGTCACCTTTTGCCATGCGGCCATTAGCGACTTCTTCCGAGACCAGAACCAAGGCAAGGTCCAATCCAGCCATGGACCGGCCGTAGGAGTGGACATCACTGCTGCCAATTCGTACACTTTGAGAACTCTTCTAATGTTTCTGACTGAAGAAGATTTCGAAAAGAACGTGCAGGAGGGCGTTTCTATCAGGAACTATGCTAAACGCAATTGGCTAGAACATTTACGGGACACCGAGGCCTCAAAAGCAAGCGCCGACGACAAGAAATTGCTTGGCTCATTGCTAGTAAGAGTCTGCCGTGAAGCGGCCGCAGTAGAAAGATGGGGAAGCGCCAGAGGTTACACTTTTTGGGTCGACGAGAACATCCTGCTCGTCAGGAAGTGGCTTGAAGACAAGGAAATCTTGGAGTCTCTACCCCCAAGCGATCGGGAGTGGGTGCGGTCGACCTCAGATAAGCCGGCCTCCACTTTCGTAGAATTGGCCAGGCTGTGCGCGAGGCAGTGGTTGCAAGATGTATACTATTCGCCCAAGGCTTGCTTCTGGCTCGTTTTTGGATACCTTCAGTACATGATTGGTACCCCCCTTGGTGATATGTCAACAACAGGCGTTGAGGGTCCGCATGTGATCGAGGAGACTGCGGAGTGGGCCGGTTTTGAGAAGACCGCTCTCTGGCACAGGCGGCTTGCGATGGTTCTTAGGGATCAATCGTTCTTTCACGCGGCGACAATCCACTTCGAGAAGGCACTTGAATTCGATCCGGAGATGTGGCGCACCAGGGGTGGTATAGCGCTCATCCACCAGTACCGCCACGAGCACGAAAAGGCGTTACAACTGTATCAGGAGAACGTGCAACTGATGAGGAAAAAGCTGGAACTGGACCCATCTTTACTACACAGCATCAAGCCGATACTCGCGGACAACCTGAAGAGCATTGGCAGTTGCTACGACAGCCTTGGGAAACGCGACCAAGCTTACCAGACGTATCGCGAGGCGTGGAACACCAACACGAATGTGGGGCTCTATGGTGCTGTCGACGAATGCTTCAGGTATCTGCATGACAAAGAGCGATATCAAGATGTTATGGATCTCATCAAAGAACTAGACGCAAAGGAAATCCCCGGCGTGGACTATCATCACTTGGCAAACTACATGGAGGTCAATCACGAGGACGACTACCACATAATCTTCCACGCTAGCCGCCACGCCGCCCGCGACACAGGAGAGCTGCAATACCTCGTCGACACCGTGCGAGACGTCATCAACTCTCGCCGCAAAGAGCGACGCTCTACCAGTGCGGCCATGCTCGAGCTGTTTCTCGCCGACATATACTACCTCGAACGGATCAATCCCGAGCGGGCCGTCCGTATCTGGGAGCACATTGTCGGCATGGTCTCTACCCCCAAAGCCGAGACGGTCATGGCTGACGCGCGAAGAAAAGCTGCGTCGATGCTCGCAAGGCACCATTTTGCTCAGGCTATGGAGACCAAGGGCACATCAGAGTGCAACCAGCACGTCCGGCGCCTCGAGCGGCTCGGCAAGTCCAGAAGTCGGGCCGGAGAAACGATCAACGTTAGCGAACCTAGTATCATACTTGGTCTGTGGTACCGTCTCAACGGTCAGGCGGAGGAGTCGAAGGCTTGCTTCAAGGCGCATATCAAGCAGTCACTACAGCTCTTATCAGATGACGACCCGAGTAATGATGAGGATGCTTATTATACTCTTGCGGAAGTACTACTGTTTGCGGGAGATGATGAGGGTACTATTGGAATGTATCGGACAGCAGGTGCGGAGAAGGAGGAACCTCCTGCGGAGAAGGAGACTGGAGGAGAGGATACAAGAGCCGGTGCTCAAATTGGCGATGACAAGGCCGTCAACGGTGCAAACTCCGGAATAGAAACGGACTTCAAAGAGGCAGGTGGGGACAGAACCATAGAAGACGGCATTGCCAGCGAAGCAGAGGGCTCAGGCTCCGCAGGTTCCGAGGAAGACTCCGATGATGGCTGTGATGATGGCTCCAGCGATGACGATGGCGACTTCGCTCCATGGTCCTGTGATGGCGTCTGTTCTCGCGCGCAGAGCCTGAAGCGGACCGACACCTTCTGGCTGTGCCGCTACTGCTACAACGTCGTTTTCTGCCAGGACTGCCTCGCATTGGTTAGGGAGGATAGGCTGCCTACCTACCAGTGCAGTTCGCAGCACGAGTGGCTCCGGGTTCAGCCGACGGATAATACAATACCTATGGGGAAGGTGTACGTCGGGCAAGGCGACGAGCTGGTAGATCTGGAAGATTGGAAAAAGGGACTAAAGAGGACTTGGGGTGTCTAGGGGGTTTTCTCTGAACCGGTGCAATGACTTGAAGACACTGTAATGCATAATTTTGGGGCTCATATAGTGCACGGCCGGTAAGATACGTAATATGCAACTTCAATACTACATCAGTCCATCGCACGGCCGCCATCAACGCCCTTCAGCGCAGTACTGAGAGCACCTGCGATAGCATGTCCTCAGAGAGCATTGCCTCTTCCCGATCCACCAATCGAGCTCGCATCTGCTGGATCCGGGTAGAAGAAGGCAGCGACACTGGCGAGACCGGAGCTCGCGGTCTCGCTTAAGGAGGAAGCCGAGTCAACCTTAAGACCGCTCGAGCTCTCCGCGTTAGGCATCCAGGCCAAACCCGTGGTATGCTCAAGGAGATCAGCAGCGTAGATGAGATGCTCCGAGGTCTATCTTCTTCGGCATCTTCACTAACAAGGAGCGCTGCGCGGTCTTGGCGGCTATGGCAACCAAGTTCCGCGGCACTTCGTATACGTACTAGGCTGGTCATCCTTTTACGGCGGGCGAGTGCGGCATGCCGATGGAGAGGATGGCTCAAGCAAGGGAACGGAGAACAATGGCGCGTCCACCGCCGCTCCCGCAAAGAAGGTGAAAACGGCTCAAACCAAACCGAGCAACAAGGAATTAGAGACAGAGGTACCAGAAGGGCACCGCACTCGATCTAAGTCCAGGGCCACTGAAGCTGGACCGAGCAACCCCGCGACGGGTCCTACCAAGCAGACTCCAAAGTCGAAGAAAAGGCGACTACAAGGGATACTGGTGAGGAAGGATTCCCGGATGACTTCGCGCCGCGCCTCTACCAGCCCGGCGAGGCCGAACCAACCGCTCCGCCAGCGCCAGGGAAGGGCGAAAAGCCGCCCGCGACGGACTAGGCTACGCAAACCCTGTAAGATCTCGACAACTCGATCACGATCGAGCATATGCCGGTTAAGTTCACCCTGCTTAGATGCCGACACTCCTACCAGATCATCCGGGTAAAGAACCTCAATCTAATCGCGGCCGCTCACACCGCCAAAGGCTGGGCCGCCCCCTTGACGCAGAAACTCGAGCCACAGCCGCACGAACCGCTAGGCGCTGCAGCGAAAATCCTCCATACTAACGACGAGGAAGTTATCAGGGCAAGCTACCTAGTGTATCAGGAGTGCCAGTGTCTGTAGTGTAATGCTTAAGTCGGGAGTTGGAATCGCCCGGCTTTTGAGAGAGTGCGGCTCGGCTTTGGCCTGCTCTAGCAGTTGTTTTATCGTGGACTTTAGAGGGGGTAAGCACTGCGGATACGTACCTTGTCATCTGTCGCCGGTTCATTTGCATTATCGAACAGATCTTTGTAGTCCTCTTCGTCTGGTTGCAGCAGGGGCTTGGCTGGTGTGGTTTATGGCCGTGGTCCGTCACAAACGCGGACTCTGAAATGGCTGGAACGGGACCACTCGACATCATGTCTAGTGGCTCTTACTCAAGAGCTAACCCGACAGAGTTTCTGTGAGATGGGGGCAGGGCTGAGTGGCGCGGAAGCGGAGCAGCACCAGATGCGTCCTCTTGCAACCTCCCGCGGCATCGTTGACGGTCTTTGGCGTCTGGTGTGTGCCGGCCGGGTTTTCGCTAGAGTCACAGCCGCGTCACGGATATGGATCAGTCATCAAGCTCTACTATGGGTTATTGTCCCAGTCGTGTGCGGGGACTTGATGCTCGGTGGCAATAGCACAATGAGATTGCAGAACGAAACTCTAGCTCAGAGTGTAACAGCATACGATACTGTCATTAAGATCTCTATCGCCTTGCTGAACCTACCTGACATGAAGACGTGCCCGCCTGCGTTCGGTGTCGTCTGATGCCAGTTTCCATACAGATAACCATTTGCAGGCAGTCGGTTCCGCCCTTTGTTGGAGGCGCCGGTGATTTCACTCTTCGAGTCATCGAAGGTATCTACGACGCCTAAGGACTGGTCTTTGGGTGGGTAATCAGGGCTAATTCCACCATTTGTGGCCTATGGCGGTCGCTGGTCCTATACTGTCAGTATGTAAGGCATGCCATCCTAGGTTTCTCGGACTTCTGGTAGGAAGCCGCCCCATGAGGACTAAAAAACAAGCTCGAGTTGCAGCTTCGAACTCCGTTCTAGCAAAAGAACTTGCCAAGCGCGTGAGACGTTGGTCGAAATTCACACACATCGGAAAGGCAAAATTTTGGCGCAGTTCCGTGCGGATATGGGAAAGACATACAGTAGAACTTGCCTATAGGGATCCTCCGAATAACGATACCTTGTCATAATAATACTCTCGCTAATCCCACTTATTTTTAGTATAAAGATAACGATATCCTCGCTACTATAATTAATTATTACCTACTATTAATGTAAGCCACCTGTATACGCTCCGCGCTATCGCGTTTATTATATCTTATACGCCTAGTCTTTTAGTATACTATCAGGTGATCTTACTCTAGGCATTTCATTTCGTAGATCTTTAACTTTGGATCTGAACTCCCTTATATTACGTGGTGCTACTTCTGTTCTAGAAGAACTAGACGTCTCTAACCTCTATTCTCCCATCCTCTATCGAAGGTAGCCTGCCACATCTGATATGATTTTCTTCTTATGCGGCGCTTGACCCATAGTGATACTACAGGTAGAACAAAAGGCCAAACTGGTAGCACCACAAATAAGACAAAAAGGGCCCAATCTTGGGACGTAACGTTTATAAAAGTTATTAAGGTGATAACAATAGCGATGTAACTGCCGAGCATAATGAAAAATTGGTACTCTCCCACTAGTATTGTCAGCACGCGACACGATTTCCAAGATAGTTGTTGTCGGTGAGGCCTCCGGACTAGTCTCCGAGGGGTTTCGTTGGGATCTGGACAGCGTTGTGTTAGAGGTATTGTAGCTGGTCTGCGATGGCGTTAGGAATATAAGAGCGGTCGCAGAGACTCACCACGATCGAGTATGAGCGAATATCCTGCCGGCCATCGTCTTCCAACAAGAGACGGCCAGAGCTGGACGTCAGATGGTTGTGTACTTTCTCTTGCCATAGTGCCGTTCGAGAATGCCACGGGTAGCGTTGGCGGCGGTTTTGCAGCCCTTGTGGCACGCAATGGACAATCGTAGCGGAGATGCATAGCAGCCCCTTCCGACCTTACCAACAAAAAACGTGCGCCTCTGGGTCGAGAGATCCTCCCTGTCTCATAAGATAGCTGACGGGACTCCAAAATCAGAAACATTACAAGCTGCGTGTTTTCGGGCATCTCGTCATTGTCGGGAGGGAAAACCTCGATCCACAAACAATCTTCATCTCCATCGTCTAGCCCCGTTTCAATCCGAGACAACTGCTGGTTGCCAGCCGATGTCTGGGAGTGCGAGAGTGATACGAGACGAAATTTGTTTAGTCGCAGACAGCCAGCTTTCAGCCGGAAAATTTCAAGCTGCTCATTCCTTAGCACAAACGGTGTGCCCTGCATATCCTGTCATCCCTCCGCTCCAATCCGAAAACCGCGCTCTGTCCTCTCCAGGGTAGAGCTTCCACGGAGATAGTCGCCTGTCGGAAGAACAGGTATCCAGCGATCCGGATGATCTTGACCGCCTCGAAGCTTGGGACCCGACACGAATAGTAAGTCAACCGGAAGCAGCTCGTGACTGTATAGTATGGTCTTCATACGTTCACCTCTGTCCTCCAGAGTCATGACCTCGCCAGCACTAAAATCCAACAGATTGGCGATGACGATGTGAAGGTCGTCCTGCTTTGTGGTTGAACGGTCGCGAAGACCGTTCCAAGTTCGAAGAAACTGATCAAGGCGAAGCCTCTGCTGAGGCCGGTCGACAGTCCCGCCATCGAGCGTCAAATCCTTCACGTCCAAGTGCATCGACGTTATGATCATCTTACTGAACTGTTCACAGATGTGTGAGGAAGCAAGAGCGGTCGCAGCGGCCACAGGACTACTTCCAGGATGGGATACACCCCCTAACTCAGCTTCACCGAGGTACAGGGCTGAGTTTGAATATTGGAATACGCAGTGTCTGGCTAAGACGCCTTCTTGAAGTGTCCACGCACGAGACATCCAATTACAGCACGATAGATACGCAAGGGCGCTAAGGTAATGCCCCTGCGAATAACCGGTCTGCGTGTGTTGGAGTTCGGAATCTAAGACGAGGACTTTCCGAGCGCCTG